TTGTGAGTAAATAGAGGCTAGAAGAATCCAAAGTCAAGGGTGATTGTCAAAATAATTAATGTGAGGGTCAGTAATAATTTTATAGAGTACCTCAAAAGTTACATTTTAATAGCTTCTCTATAAATATTTTGATGGATTAACACTTCACTTTAAAGCTAAAAATATTGCAATTAAATAACATAAAATACGGTTGTTTGTTAACTTTTTTAATTCTATTTATAAACTTATTAGAGGCCAAAAACTTAACACCAAGAAAAATGTTGTATACGTTTATAAACGTTTACGACGAATTCGACTTGTTTAGTCCTTGCATAATTTGATAGCTTCGAGCACTTGGCGATGTCGGTTTTTAAACTTTTCTCTCATATTATAAATGAAATCAGTCTCTCAAAACATAGTATGTTCACAAATGGTTCCCATCAGTGCAGTATTTATATCATATTAATTGGAAACGGTAGGAGATATCTCGCACATTGAATATACCCCGACTATCATTAATTATATCGTCTTTGCACCAACTTAATAGAATTTTTGATGGACAGCATTGATATTATTTATGTGATAGGTGAGCCCTTCTTTCAGGGGGTTGCAAAACGGGACCATCCAAGTGGAACGTTGTTGAGCCAGACATGTAAGATAAAAGGGCTCCTTTTCATCACCCCTCCCTCCTAAGTGTTTTCGGGGAGGAATTTCTTGACATATGCTTGGGCTATTTAGGCTGTCAGTTGTCAGCTTGCCAACGTGCTGCGCCCTCACTCCCTCAGCGACAACAGCTGCATATTCGCATTCAAAGTCCCTCCAAAAAACTAAAAAAAAACATGAGCTGCAAATGACAGCAACAGGTGCGAAATGTAACAGCGCCCGCGCATTTACAGAACTTACAGCGCCAGATCGCCAGACGAATGCACGGGAGGAAGTCTCTGGCATAGAGACAAAAGGGTTTGGGCCTAGGGCCCAACCACGACAGCCAAACCACTTCCTTCTCTGCGCGCGCTGGCATGCAAAATTACGGCAAGCAAATGTTGCCATTGCGAAATAAGACAAAAGAATGCGCCCCACAGATTGCCTGGGCTCGGACCGACTCGGCCCGGCCCGGCCGTGCCAGGCCCTTTGTTTTAGCATTGCTACTCTTTGTTTTTTTACCCCACACACAGCCAACCAGCCAGCAAGCCAGCCAGCCAGCCAATTGCTGCGCCTGCGCCATGACGAGGCGCGTATTCTTATTGCGCCGTCGCAGAAAACTTACAAAACACCAGAGTGGAGGGACGACAGATACAAGAGTACTCTACTCGTACAGATGCAGAGACAGAAACAGAGACGAGCAACAGTTGTAAATCATCGAATTACCTCAAAATAATAGCAATCGCTCTTTGCTTTGCAGTCAGTTGGCCAAGACGAAAATGAAATTGCCAAAAGCAAAGCAGCGAGCTGGCTGAAAACAATCACGATAGACTCCATTTGTAAGTAGTCGAAGACTACATGCCCTTGGAAAGCTATGATTATTACAGGTCTAATTGAAGTCGTTTGATATTAAACGAGCATATATAAAGAGTCGACTTTAGGTTATTGGTAATAGTCTGATTAAGTCAAGATAAAAATATGAGATCATTGTTTCATATTGTAATCAAATAAGAGAGCGTTTCACTATTATCAAAAGTGTATTAGAAGATAAGGTTGATTAGGCATGCCCATTCAAAAGGGCCTTGGTCTAGGGTAATGCTAATAGAGTGGCTCCAAGCTCTTAACAGGTCTATGCTTGATATATTAGATTTATTTAGATTTGTTTCAAAGGCTTTCAGTGACTGCCTTTTTTTTTGCTGCGAAAGGAAACAAATAACACGAAACTCCTCCCATCATACAATTATGTTAGATTATGGGATCGGTTTAAATTACTTTCTTCTTTGCGTCATACAAATCGTAATAGAGTTAATATACCCTTTGGATAGGGTATGAAAAAAAGACAATGCAAGAAGGCAGCTGACTCGTGTAGAGACTGCGCGAGACTGAGACTTCTCTCGCTCGTAAAGTTAAGACTAAAGCCAGCCAGATACAGATACTTTGGCCAGTTGAGTCACACAGACTCCCAGGCTGAAAAGAAGGGGCGGCAGGGCGGCAAAAGTAAGTATTATTTTGTTTTTTGGCGACTGCCGCCGCTTGCGAAATGAAGAAACCCCAAAAACAAAAAACGACGACTACAAACAGCAAAAAACTTCGTGTGTCAGTTACGCTTAATGAGCACAAATATTGCTCTCATTGTTGTTGTTGTTGTTGGTTGTGTGCTGCTGCTGCTGCTTTTGCTGTTGTCGCTGTAGATTTTTTGCTCTTGATTGCCGTGCCGTGTGCACGTTGAACTGCCTGGCCAAATGAACAACAGACCGACTGCCTGACTGCCAGCCAGCCTGCCTGTCGTTTTGACTCTGGGGTTGGGGGTCTCGTCTCGATTTCAATGAAGATGACACTGGCACAGTCGACAGTCGGAAATGCCAATACTTAGCGTGCCATGAGAAAGAAAAATGAAAAGCTTGGCACCCAAAGAAAAAACCTTCAAATTCGTTGTAGTTCGACCGCCGCATGTATTGTAGCTTAACCTTTATAAGGCACAAACCTCACGCAGTCAGGGGCAGCGGGCAGCGAGCAGCGAGTCGAGCAGCAGGCTGGCTGGAAGGCAGGCAGCATAAATAGCAAATCATCACCTGGGCTGTGTGATAGCTAGCCAGACATGCAGCTAAAATTTTTTTACATAAGTATGTACATACACTGAAAGAGTAGTGGAAGGTGATCTCAGCGAGAAACGAAAATGTAGTGTTAAACGCTTAAATTAAAAGCCCTCTAAGAGCTTAATACAAACAGCGATTGGTGACCCCGACGCTAATGTTCTTTTCCACAAGCTGAAGCCATCCATATTTTTGATTGAACTAAATTCTTTCGGAGTCAACAGACTTTCAATTGAAATTCCTTTCATTTCGTTCATTTCTCACCTGAAAGCATAATTCATAAACTTTTTCTTCTTTTTTTTTTGAGTGCACAACAACCCGCCCGCGCCCGTACTTCAGCAGCCACTTGAAATGCTCAGCGATCAAGACAACAACAAAAAAGATGAAAATAACAACAACAGAAATTTATTTAAATATATGGCCTTCGGCTCTATATTGGACGCACTTAATGTTTTGCCTACTTATGCGTATACAGCTGTCCGACCAGCCCCGTCCCGTCCCTGTCCTTCTCTTCGTAAATCTCTCCCACGAATAGCACATTTTTTTCTGACTTGGCATAGAGCTCGCGCTTAAATCTTTTGCTCATAAGAAGAGTTTTATATACAGTCGTGTTTTTTATCCATTTCTTGTTCGCACTCAAATCAAAACGTGGCACAAACTACCAGGGCTTTTTTTCCTGAAATCTTGCTAATGCTTTTCATTGTCTCTGTGTGTTTTCTTACATGAGTCGAGTTGCCGCGGGAGTCGCGGGTGTATTTGCTGATTATTAGGCGTTGGCGCAGTTTTGTTCACAAATAATAAATTGGTATAATTAGCGGCATTTTAATATGAGGTTGTAATAACAAGACCACTGACAAACAACAGACCAACGATCTATGCAAATGTGGAGTTGTTTTCATAGCCCTCAGGGTAAGCGGTATGGCCAAAGCAAAGAGCTGGCTGCCTGGCAAACAAGGCAGCTATGTACGACGGCTCGCAGAAGGTGTCGGACTGCTAAATTACCTGGACTTCGGGCTAACTCTGGTGTAGATTCCCAGGCTCTGTGGGTGGCTTCGTAGCAAATAATGAGAGAATGCCAAGTGTGTTTTGTTTCTTGTTTTAGTCTTTTTTTGTCTTGTTGACAATTTAGAATATGAAGATGGCTAATAAAAGAAAAACGCCAAAGTTTATGTTAAAAGGCAAAGAAAAAGGGGCCTCGCATAAGTAATGAATTGTGGATGAGATCAAAGCCTAGCCGTCGGGAAAGAAGGTAATTAATACTAAGTATGGGAAAACAGAACGGCACACTTACGTATAAGCTGTAGGAATAAGTAGCCTAGATCCTAGGTTGATCTGAACTGCCTACCAATGCATGAAGTTAGATCAGAAATTGTTCATTCGTACTTATCCGTATTTATGTATCGATTTGAGTTCTACGATTTTACAGCTACTTTAAACATAAAAATACAAATAGTTGTATTACATGTGTGTGACAAAAACTACAATATTGAGAGTTTCTATATTCTGATCGCTAGATCTGTAAAATCTAGAGTGTAGATTATTATTTAAGAAGAAATGTAACATTTTTATTATTAAAGTCAAGAAGAAACGATGAAAGTAAATACCGAAACTGATCTTAAGTTGACATTGTTTTGCACGGCTCTGACATATTTCCCCCATAATCACATCAAGCTTGCAAGTTAATTAGACCAAAACATGAATAATTTCCCTTTTAAACCTATGGAGAGCGACGAGATATTCGTATCCGTACGAACACATAAAAACAAAGATAGTCGTAATCCCATTTGGATAGAGGGCTGTTCCAACACGGAAGCCACCACTTAGGCCAGACAATATGCCAACAAATGCCAGGAGGCGGGGGCACTTAGCGATTAGACGCTTGAGCGCCAGCAAGTCATCGTCATATACAGATTGTCGTAGACACATGCGCATGCGCGCCCTTAACGCCCAAGTTGGCAAACTTTGGCGACGCTTGGCTGCATTTTGTTGTACAAAACGACAATGTCGTCTATAGAAGCAATGTCTTCAAGGCTTCAATGTCTGGCTGGCTGACTGCCTGGCATGTGTGCGGCGTCAGTGGCGCGATAAATGCGCATTTCACTTTCTATAAGCATCGGCCGACTAATGGCAGTTTAATTATGGCGGGCATGACTTGCCCTCAAATGTCACATAAATTGCATGAACCATGCTGTGATTTATTGTAACTTTAATTTTTTCTCTACCACGCCCGTTTATTACATACTTATACTTATATATATATGGTCTTGTCGTCTGTTTCTATTGCAGCATGGCGTCGAGGTCATAGACACGCAACTTGTAAAGCAGAAGAAAAGACAATAGACGTACACAAAAAATTAAAGGCAAACGACAAAACAGGAACTAAAATGTCCGGCAATCAACATCAGCAGCAACTACTTCAACAACAACAACAACAGCAGCAGCAACAGCAACAAAAGACACTAAATGGCAATTTAAACACAGCAGCAACAGCAACAGGAGCGACTACAAACAATTTGGGCACAAATTTGATAAAAATTAATAGCACCGCAGGCAACAGTGACAAAATTGTACACAAAACAACGCATGCAATTAGTAAGCAGCAACAGCAACAGCAACCACAACAACAATTTCAGCAAAGGCGTTCATTGCTACCATCAACAACAACAACAGCAACAGCAGCAGCGCAACACTCAACGCAACAACAAAGCGTAACGACATCACAGTCGCAGTCACATCAGCTACAAACTGTAGCCACAATACATCAGCAACACTCGGCCCAGGCACAACAACAGCAGCAGCAGCAACATTCGCAGGCACAGCAACAACAACAACAGACAACCCACTCACGTCTTCCCATACAGCAGTCGTCGCCACAGGCTAACAGCAACAGCAACAACAACAACAACGTCGGAAAGGAGGCGACAGCAGCACCCACAAACGGTCACGGACACGCCCACCATTCACAGCTGCCACACACGCGTCGCAGCTTCTATCAACTGCAACAGCAGCAACAGCAGCAGCAAACGCTTAAAGCGCCCAGCAACAGCAACAACAACAGCTCGGCTCCGCATTTAAAAGCGCCCGCTCATTCTATACCACCTCGCTACCAACCACCTCCCCAACCGGGCGGCGGTGGCGGCGGGGTCGGGGGCGGCATATTAAAAGCGCCCAGCAGCAACGGTCTCGGCATCGGGGCAACACACTTGCCACTAAAGTATCCGCCGGATATACCACAGTTATCCAGCGTCTATATACCCGATTCGGTCAAGGCGCATCAGCAGCAGCAACAACAACAGCAGCAGCATCGCTACTTGCATCAGTCCAAAGACATGCTCAAGTTTGTCCGCAAGCCCGATCAGGAACATCCCTCGCCCAACGCTTCGGTCACGTCCAGTGGGACGGGCATACCGACAGCGAATGCAGGGCGTCTCACAGCGGAACAGAATCGTCAATTGCAGGTATGCTATACTATTAGTATTATAGAGTAGATCAAAAAGTAATGCTTAAATAATAATGGTCTGAAATAGGATTGCTGAACTGAATTGGGTTTTATGTAAAAGCCATAACTGAGTGCGGGACGTTTACATAAAATGCGTTCGGAGCTTTGTTGCTTCCAATTCATAGAATCGGTATAAAATCATTTTATTTAGGTGATGGTATGGCTAAAGCGATATGTGTAGAGCATTATTGTATTATCAAAGCACGAAACATTTTGGGGGCTATAAATAAAACTCTCTCTTGGCCGGACACTCCAACTTTTGCCCGCTTAAAGGGATACTTAAATACTTAGTATGTTCTAGTTAAAGTGTCCGCCTAAGTGGGGTGTCCGGATAAAAGGGGTCTCCATTACTGACTACCAACCTTTTATCATAAGTAGCAGAGGTTTCAACCAATCGGCTAGACTGGACAGAAAACGAAAACTAAACCGCAAAGTATATACAAGTATAACGCTGGAAAGCTTCAGCTTAATTACTTCAAAAGTAAGAGGGTTTAGATGTCACGAATGTTACCTTTTATGAATTCTTCTGCAAAAGGGTAAAGCTGTAATGCTTTTGAAATAGCATTATTTGCCTTTCTAAAATCTTTACCATAAAAGAGCTCTCAAAATGCCTTTAAAAAATGCTTGTAATGGAAATGCAATTAAAGAATTTATTCATGATCTGTAATAGCCCATATTGAAATTAATATCAGCTGCCTCTAAAAAAAATTTCTGTTTTCATTCTAGTCCCTGGTAAATGAGCTCCGCGCGCTGAAGGAACAAAATCAGCGTCTGCTGGATGACAACCAGGAGTTGCGCGATTTGTGTTGTTTCCTAGACGATGATCGGCAGAAGGGACGCAAGTTGGCACGCGAATGGCAACGCTTTGGACGCTATACGGCTAGTGTAATGCGTCAGGAGGTGGCGGCCTATCAGGTATGAAATAAATAGCATCGAGTGTGGCAATTGTTTCAAAATCGAACATCCTTGTCTAGAACAAACTACGTCAGCTGGATGACAAGCAGCAGGAGCTGATCACTGACAACTTGGAGCTGAAGGAACTCTGCCTTTATCTGGATGAGGAGCGAGCCCATGTGGCGGCCAATGCGCTCTGCGCCAGCTGTGGAACTGCCACACGCAACGCCTTGCGCGATGATGGCGATGGCTCCAGTTCGAGCACCAATGCCGATGAAACTATCACAGCATTGCGCAACTATGCGGAACAGAGACAACTGCCGGTAAAAATAATCGTAATATATGTATAGACAATTGTAAATTTAAATATTATATACAGTCCATTGAAGAAATGTTTTATGTTGCGACTTCAAAGAGGAGCTTCTTTATGGCAAAGTAAATTAAATATATAGTAATAGACAAATACGTATGTGAAGTGAGAAACAATTTACAATAAGTCGAGGGTATTATTTTCAAATGTCCAATTAGCTGTGCAGAATTTCAATATTAACGGATGAAAGGTTCTGGTACAATAGGTACTGGAAAATAATTGCACATAACAGATTACACAAAAGTTGTAATTATAATTGGGAGTCTATTGTTCTAAGCAAAAGATTTTAGCAGAGGAATATACAATATAGCTCCAATTTGGACCCTCTAAAAAGGGAAAGGTGAAACTAATTCTGTTCTGATTATTAAAGGTCTAATGTAAAGTGCAATAAGCTCTAAACACAAACAGAATATGTATTCGAAAAAGTAAACCCAATGTATTAATTCGTTAAAGGGACACCAAATTTCTTTCATTAAGAAATCATATCAAGACCCATGAAGCAATAAATGGCTGCAATTTTAGATTAGAAGACAGCTTAATTACTTGGTTCGATAAAAAGGCTAAACGCTAAATCTTCACCAAGGCTAGCAAGTCTTTGTAAAACTATGAATAGTTAGCAATCATTTTGTTTGTAGATGAATTGTAATTATAGGTTGATCGAAGACAATAATGTCCACAATACAAATAGAAAGCAAGAAAATTGTCCGCAATATGAGTGTTTTATGGTGTCTGTTTAAATATTTTTATTAGTAAGTAATTATCTAAAATGTTGATTACAACTCTACCGAAACGTAAGCTAGAATCAGCAACCAACTTCAGGCTATTCGCTAATATTTAACAGATTATTTATATTTTATATATATTTAACAGATTAATTCGATATTAACAATGCAGAAAAAGATCAATTTCTCACTCTACCACTTTTACTTTATATCTCAGGATCTGCGAAATGTCAACACGCTGAACGATCAGACGTTGCAATATGTGCGCTCCCTAGAGCGACGCATTCAACAATTGGAAGAGGAGAGAGTGGTCAGCACGCCGACGGCCAATTTACAGCAGCAACAATCGGCACAACCACAGCAACAACAACAGCCCTTGCCACAACTGCCGGCTAAGCTTGCGCAATCGGCAGCGCAGCAGCAACAACAGCAGCAGCAGGATTTAAGCAATGCAGTGGCCGCTGCGGCAGCCGCTGCCGCCCAATTGCCACTTCCCGAGCCCATTGCCGGCCGCCCCGAGGCTGTGGTGCGGGCTCTTCAAGTGTTGGAGGTGCGCGAGCAGCTGGAGCGAGATCGGTTGGGAAATCTGGCGGGCAGCGCCATCGATCAAATGGACGATGGTGAGAAGGCGCTGGTGCGCGAAATGTGCAACGTGGTGTGGCGTAAGCTGGAGGGCAGCCCCCATGCAGCAAACGCTGCTCTGGAGCAGCTCTAAGCAACTTTGGGGCAACAACAACATCAAATAGAAAACAACGCAACTAACTTGGCTAACATTTAGAACTTAGAATGTTTTATGCTAATTTATGCCGTAATATTTAACACCCCTAATATATACATTGTACAAAGTTTAAACTACTATATGGCTAAGCTAAGCGCTTTATCTAAACACAGAACAAAAGTAATACTCGAATGTTTTTTTTATTATCTACTTTAATCTATAAACTGGCACTGTTACAAACACTTGAAACTGAAAAAGAGTTGGAGGGAGCTTGAGCTCTAAGCGCTAAATTGCATATACAAATAAAATGCATGAGATAATTTCAAAAAAATTGTGTTTTAATTGAAAGAAGTAATTAATGGAATATTTGGCTCGTAAATAAAAAATAAAAAAAATAGTCCAATTTGGTAACGTAAATTCTATGTTGTTTGTTTCTTATTTATAAATTTGTTTTGAAATTCGGCCAATTCTGCATTCATTGCTCTAACCAGTCTTAAGAATCATTAATTAGCAAAGAACCAACCAAAAATACAACTTTCGAGAAAATTAGACATTCGTTAAAAGAAACTAGCTTTAGTGACTGTAGCAATTCAAATATTTCTGGTTATTATAGTTTCTGAATGCAATTAGTTTTACCCTTAAGGTAAATTTAAATGTCAGGGTACATAGTTTAATAAAGTATGAGAAAAAGTTGGTACATAAAAAAGAAAGAAAGCAAATCTGATTCCTTAAACCAAATATGTTTATTAATAAATCTGATAGAGTATTGCAAAAGGTTGGTAATGGTTGGTTCATACAAAAAATTAAAACAAAACTGACTCTTTAAACCGAATTGTTTGGTTAATAAATCAATAGCATTAAAAATGGAAAATAATCTTTTTAATTTATGGTACATATTTCAAAATTCATACCATTCATTACCCCGTAACATATGCAGTGGAGTTTTTCCTGAATTTAAAACCCATCTATTATTTGCTTTGAAACATTGCAAGGCGCAAAATCGCTTTAAAACTAAAACTGAAAAGTATTCCATAGACCAAAACTGGGAACAAATCTAGGGTTAAATGTGAGCTAACAGCTTAACCGTTGTTCTACTGTCGCCTATTTACCTCCCACTTCTGGTAGCTAAACGCATTTACACTTCTTGTCTTTGGTTGTTGCTGCTGCTGCTGTTGCTGCAGCAGACAGCTTTCTACGCTTTGCTGAATGCTGCTGTTCGCAGTTGTGGTTCTTGTTGTTATTGTTCGTTGTGGTTGTTATTGCTGCCTGGCCAAACGAAAATTACCACAAAGCTGTTTAACCTGATTTTCTTTGCCGATTTGCGCTGCCCGTATCACATTCATTCACAAGAAGCATTCACATGCCTGTGAATGGCAATGATGTTGATAATGACGATGATCGCGCCGACGATGATGATGATGATGATGATGCAGCAGAAATAATGCACCCAAAAGAGCAACCCAATTTCCGTTAATTCGCGTATTGTCCGCTTCTTTTGGATCAGGCATGTTGCTTTTATTGTTGCTGTGCGGCAAGGTGTGAACATGTGAGTTAATTTACTGCCATTAAATATGCAAGGTTTGTGGCATCCTGATAAGCGATCCAGAGCAGAGCGTGTGAAAAGAATGAGGAGAGCAGACCATTTAAAGGTCAGCTGCACACTGCAGCAGCGAGCCCACTAACATACTTATGTTAATTAACATGCCGCTGTAAGTAGCAGACCGCAAGCATTTTGTAATAATTAGCATACAATTATGAAGAAATTAGAGCAGAGCTTATGTTATGAATGTATTGTAATTTCAGCTTAGCTTTCAGCCAATTCTGTACATAAATATACTTATATAGTTTATTCGAGAATTACTTTCAAGAGTTTGTGTGCAAATCCTTGTCATGTCTGACCATAGCTTTAGACTCCAATGCATGATTGTGTTGGCCCAGTTGTGAGTGTGGCCAAAAAGTGTGTAGAAGGGTAGAAGAAAAGAAGTGGAGCAACATTGCCAAACGAGCACACAACGAAAATAACAACAAAATTTAAAACTCGCGCCGCAAATAAATAATCACAGATTAGAGACAGCGACGACAATAACAGTACAACTAGCAAAGCAAAGCAGGCAAGACCAACAAGATCGCTCACACACACACAGACGCACACACACATGCTCGCAACAGCATCCAAGTAGCACTGGCAACTGGCCGCCACGGCAGACAGGCGCGCATTTTTCATTCAACAGCCCAACGAAACGCACGCAAACGCTAAAAAGCAGTTAAAAACTTGAACGGACATTTTGCCAGAAAGGAGCGCGGCAGTTAGTGTGTGTGTGTGTGTGCTTGGTGTGTGAGTGTATATATGTGTATGTGTGTTTGTGTGCGTGTGTATGCACATGGCATGGTTGGAAGCCATAAAAATGCTGTCGCACAACACAAACCCCAAAGCCATCAAGTGCAATAAAACCGCGAGCTTATTACGAATACAGCGACATCCAAGTCCCAGTCGGACTCGTACTCGAACTCAAAGTCGGACTTGTGGTGCGGCGAAAAAGAAAGTTATTGTTGCTTTTGGTGCCTCCTCGGCCAGTTGTTCTTGTTGTTCTTGCCATTGGTGTTGTTTTGGCTGCTGGAACCTGCAGCTGCTACTCCTCGTCATTTGCATATTGACAGCGCACCTCGCACAGCTGACTGCGGCAGCGCCATCGACTGAAACGGCAGCCTGGCCACCCATGCATCATTATGATATTTGGAGCGCCGATTTGAAAGCGTTGACAAGCGATACGGAAGTTGCTCAGCGAGCAGAGACAGCATCTGTCTCAGAGCTAAATGAGCCGTTCGAAACTAACGATGATGACTTGCTTTTAAACAATCTGAACGATCTACAGGAGAATGAATACAGCGCCAAGTTGGCCCAAAGCATTGGCTGGCAGAATCAAACGACCATACCAACCATGAGCAGCAGAAGTACTAGGCGTGGTAAAGGTAAAATCGATTACTTTACAGAATTTGAGAAACCAAAACTCATTTATCAGGATTTAGTCAGCACATAAAACAATATGAAAAACTTGTATTGAATTATAGATAGATTCTTTCAGTTAGTTAGAAACCCTGACAGTAACAACTTTGAATATCGCGAGAATTAATAATATCACAAATAAAAATTGATTCCATGGCGATCATGTCGCAAAAAACTAACCTATAGTTTCACCAATTGGCTTTTCAATAATAATGGACAGATAGTGGTCATACGCATTAATATCTAAAGTAATATTGAAATTAACAGTATACGATATTGTTCAGAATAATCAAAAATAGGTTCAGTTTGAAATCGAAATAGTTTTAATATCCACTAATTTACTATGAAAATATCATAATATTTTTGAATATCAATTTGGTAGAAGTATTACTTTAAAGAAGAGCGCGTAAAAAACATAGGTCGCCTTTTTCAAATTGATTGCTAACCATGGATAAGGTAGATTTATATTTTATTTGTTATTTTCTAAATGTTGCTTCGATAAAGTACATCGTATGAGAAACGAAAAATTATACACATATATTTTATGTATGTATATGATTAATCAGCTTTTGCTGCTGGGTATGAACAGCTTGGAGAGCAGTGTTTTTAGTTGAATAATGTTATTGCTTAAAATGGCAAATTTTTGCTTAAAATAGCCAGGGAGAAGAGCTCCAAAAACCGTATTCTATTAACGTGAAATTGAAGTATAGCATGTATTGCTTTTGATTATTTTGTGGAATAATAGCGCGCCCTCCTCTGCGATTCTCATACCAAGTACCTAAGTGATGGCACAACAATTTATTTTTAAAATTAATTAATTGGATTCAGTGAAATAATTGTGGAAATGAAATATATTTATGAAGAAAATGCACAACATTATTTTGTTTGGGATTAGAATGTTGTAATAAAAGTTTGGCAAACTCCTTCTGTTAGTGGTTATACACCCTTTGCGTGAAGGCGGCTTAATCGATCAACAAATTGTTTTTAATTTTTTAAATTGCTGCAAATAGTCTTCATATATGTACAGAATATCTATCTCAATGTCTGGACACCCTACTTTAGCGATTCCACTTTTTTATGCGTACAGTATTATTTATTTATTAGAAAAAGAGAGGCCTTCAGTTAAACTATCAATGATCAGAAGGTGAAGGGGCCCACTGTACAAAATACTATAGATTTTCTGACAAATCCCAAGTGGGCTACAAAAATTTGTTTCTTAGCAGTGATCCACTTGTTTCCGGTTCCCGTGGATGGCGAGTGTTTGTCCGACGATGGGCGTCGTCTGGGCAACTGTTTCAACGCCTACGAGTGCAGACAGAAAGGCGGCACGGCAAAAGGTGAATGCGCGATGGGCTTTGGTGTCTGCTGCGTGTTTGTTGCCAATTGCAACGAGACCATTACCAACAACATAACGTACATTGTGTCGCCAAACTTTCCCAGCTTCATGCCCAGCAACTTCACCGGCTGCAGCCTGAAGGTGAAAATGATGAGTGAGGACATAAGCCAGTTGCGGATAGACTTTTATCACTTCTCGCTGGGTCAGCCAAATCGACGGACGGGCGTATGCGATGGTGATGTCTTCAATATTAGCGGTGGACCCAGCGGATCGTTTTCGCTGTGTGGCCAAAATAGTGGACAACATTGTAAGTTGTACTCAATGGACATTTTGTTTACATTGTTTAATTGCCATTCTGGTTTGCTTACAGTGTACTATGATGTTGGGAGTCGTGCCCTGCCGCGTCAATCACAGCTTTATGGCAGTCTTCGCCCTCTCAGCTATGCACAACTATATGGAAATCTAACCAATGGCAATAGCAGCGCGGCGGATCAGTTAATCGACATAAATCTAAACTTTTCGAATCGCTTTTTGCCGATACGCCTATGGGAGATACGTGTGGCGCAGATCCCCTTCAGCCAGCGAGCGCCGGCTGGATGTCTTCAATATCACACCGGTGTGGAGGGTATTATGCAAACGTTTAATTTTGCCGACAACGGACGGCATCTGGCCAATCAACATTATCGCATCTGTGTGCGCCAGGAGACGGATATGTGTTCTATAATGTATCAGCCGTGCGACGAGCAATCATTCCGCATAGGCGGAGGCGGTGCAGTGAGAATGGGTGCAGCTGCAAGTCCAACTGCTGGCGCAATTATGAATGGCGGAGGACAAGGGGGCGCGGCTGCTGGCGGACCAAATGGTATGCCTGCCATGAATGGAGTCGTCAATAGCGACATGGCCACTACACCTGCTTCTGTGCAGGCTGACGATGCAGCAAGCACTACAGGAACCACTATGTCCACAAGCACCATCCAGTTGACAAGCGACAGCAGCTCCTCTGCCTCCACTGCGATGCCAACAATGGCAAGCTCCGATGCCAGTAGTAGCAGCAGCAGCGCAACGACAATGAACGTTACCACAGCGGCACCACAACGATCCAGCACCGTGGCTGCCATGGAGGAGGAAAGCAGTACAGCAGCATCCACTACCGATACGCCTTCATCCTCACCAGTAAACGACGATGTGGAGGGCTCCGGCGATGATGGAAATGATGGTGGGTTTAATCTATTTGGCGGAGCGTCTCCCACAACAGCTGCTCCACCGGGCGTCTCACGACGTCCGCGCCCAGTCGGCGGTGCAGGTGGTGGCAGTGGAGGATTCGATTTGCTAGGCTTTCTGCGCAGTGCCTTTGACTTGCGGCTACGACATCGGCGCCGCCGTCAGTCCCGGCAGTTCTTTAGCACCTGCAGAGATCGCATTACCATGCCGTGCATAATCGAGGATTTCATTGGTACGGGCCTGGGACCATTGCCTGGCTGCGAACCCGTGCATTGTGGCGCACAGTTTTGCTCCTCAGGTGTATGGCCCTGTCGCATCGAGTCAACCGTCACGCCCTTTTACATAGGCGTTCATTTTGGTAACGATGCCGAGGGCAAGGGCAGTCCAGAGGACAATATTGGCGCTTGTCTACGTTACGCGCAAGTCCAGTGCATGTGAAGTGCTCTGGTATCATCTTTATTTCGTTTTAGGAAATGCCCAAACTAGATTTATTGGAGGAATGTCAGTCAGTGTGTGCTTATATGATTAAATTATGGATGGTATCAGTGGTATTCCCACATCTGTTATTGATGTGCAATAGATTTGGCCGAACAGTTTACAGGTCACTCTCTTTGAAATAAAAAGATTGCTTTTTATAATATATTATCAATGTGGCTGTTCCCCCGGATTGGCTTTGTTAACTTAAAGCGCTTGCTCTCGAAATCCGTGGCATTTGTCCACTTTTTACTTGTCGTGCCACAATATTCAAAATCATCTAACCACCAACTCTTTCGAACACTGTGTACAGGGGCTTGTCAACAGTCTTTATAGTTTCAATTTGATCCGATCCAGCAGGAAACTGTCGTTTTATCTCACATTTATTGTCACACGAAATGAAAGACTTAATGGCAATTAAACGGATATAAAAACCGGCAAACAATTTAATTCCTGTTACCTAGACTGGCTGGATAAATCCACAATATTTATTTATTGAATATGTATTTATTGAATAAAACACAACTGAATGTCGAATTGATTTCTTTTATTTTTTCTCATACAGTATGTAAATGGATACATATTGCCTGTTATTTGTAAAAGATTTACATCGCTAGAAAAACAACCTAGTCTAAGGATGTAGTAAAACATTACATATCGTATAGGCAACAAAAATTACATATAATTCTACATTATTTGTGTTTATTATATAACCGATACAGTGGGATCTATAATTATTTTCATCGCTTTTCTGGCCATTTGAGCCCGGGATTCGTGATTTAAAGTTCGATTTTGTACCGACAGTTTCAACTGTCATGTGAGTTTCTTAAAAATACTTACGTACTAAATCTGCGCAAATAATTGTGCGTATACTTTTTTTTTTTTTTTATCAAAGCCTTTTACATTTACAATTTGGAATGCAATACTAGACTAAAGTACAAGCTACCAAAAGAGAATGTGCCTACAGATAGCCAAGCCGAATATTTTAAATTGTTATTAAAAAGTAGAAGAACTGTACTCTTTTGGCTTATTTGAATGTGTTCATTCATTCAACCAATTGTAACAAATGTGCCTTAAAATCCAATTTAGCAAAGTCCAGTTCTACGGTGGATTACAGACAATTTGGTACATGGCCAAGATATAAGAAAAAGGCACTCACGTAAGTCATTTTTACGTATAAAATTTCATAAGAAATCGAAAGTGGACTCTTTAGTATAAATAATAAAAAAAAAGTTTAAAAATTTCTTGTTGAGTATTACGCAGTTAAATAAAAAACTAAAAAAGCAAATTTTTACCTCTCCTAATAATAAAGTACACAACAAATAAAAACTGCACGAAGTATTTAAGAACGAATGAACGGACCTTCTTTAAAGCAATGACTAATGACAATTGTTCGTGGACTTTGCTTGCGAGGGCACAAAAGGTGAAATTTAATAGCAGGCGGCACAATATTGTTTTTAATACTAAAATGATATCTTTGGTTTAAATTAAAAATTTACAAAATATATATAAATATAAATATAAATCAATATGTTTGTAGATGAAAAGATTTGCAGAACTGCGAGATAAGGAGAGATTCATCCGAAGGTCGTTTTCGACGCTTTTTTAGAGTCTAGAAGTACTCACCAGTTGCCGCAAAAACTTTGGGACAATTTTGTTCCGCATATTTGGCATAGGCTGCTTTTGAGCCCACCTTAATGAGGAGGTCTTTGGAGTGTTTATTCCACACATGCGCCACATATGAGTCCTTGGTGCGTGCCATTGTTTGATCCAAGTATGTTGGTTCAAAGAAAACACGCCACTCCCTCCAGGGCACAGCATAGAACGCATTTCGCTCGAACACCTTGAAGCCAAGGCAACGCTTATGATCCTCGACCATTAAAGATATGACCTTGGTGCCACAAATTTTCTCGGCCACACGAGTGATAACACCTGGACCATTGTTTCCCCAATCGCTGCCATCGAAATGCTTTTGAAAATTGCGTAAACAAAGATCTGCAATTTCATGACCAAAGCCATCAGGTGCGAGATTCATAACGCCAGCAGCCAAGCTAGTGGTTGACTCAGCGCCCGTGTAGTTCGGTGGAACATCTTCCATGCTGCGCAGCACTACAACATCCATGTCCAGATAGAGACCCCCGAAGCGATAAAGCGTTAAGTAGCGCAGAAAATCGGATATGTGCGAGATCACATAACTGAGAAAATTTATGGATAAGTTTCGATTCGTCCTTCTTGACCTTTAGCTACTCACCTTGAGCGAAACAGTTGGCCATCTTTGACCCACTCATCGATGGGCGTGCCTGCCGCATAGCTCCAGAGATTCACTCGGCGTATATTTACATTTTTATAGCTAAGAATAGCGTCTATTAGAGGCATTACGCTGTGATTTTTCCACACCAAGTATGTTGGGCTCGCAAAGAGAACAAACACTTGGAAATTGGGATTGTGCAGGGCAGCTGACTCAATTGCGCACGCCTGTCTCGGCGTCAACTTTAATTTTCCCATCTGCCACTTGCCCTTCTCAAGCTCCAGCTGATGGCAACTGGTCTCATGGAAAAATATGCTTTTACCAGGTGTCGGCATTGGCTCTGTAAGCAGAATATCTCCCAGGCTCTCCGCCTCACCTTCATTCTCACTATGAGGTTGCGCGTCTAGCTCCATGAAACACATTTTCAGATCCGTGCGCTGATAATATGTAATGGTTAATCCACAAATGAGCATGACGATGAGGGTCAGGAACATCAATCGCAAGCGACCATTGTGCAGAGACCGTGCAAACAATAGGGACAACCGCAGCAACATAATTGAGCTTTTGACTGCGTAAATGGCAATAAAATTAAACTTTATCAATTGATTAGTATTATGAACTTACCACGTGATTAATGAGGCAAGAGCATTGAGTACTTTTTATTTAAAATTGTGCTCTTCCAAGGGCTTGTAATTTATGATTGCCAAATGCAACAACAACAAAACAAGTTGAGCACGGCGATACGGGGTTCACGAAGGGTGCCGTTTGTTTACATCTATTCGAAGCGAACTAAATACACAGATTAAGCTCATTGCTGCATCATACGACAATTTGCAAGACTATTGTCCATTAACAACGACATTTTAAGTATTTCCCCAATCAAGCAGTCTGTGTAGTCATTTTTAAAATTAATTATTTATTCTGTATGAGCAACTTGATTGCTGCAAATACATGTTTTAGCCCCGTATCAATGCGTTGCATTGGTTCTTGTGTGTGAACGAGTCGAGCGAAGCAGCCCTGGTATAAATCAAGTTAATCATAGGGCGGTTCAGGTATTAAAACTGTTCAATTCAAAAGTGCTTACAAAAGGCAAATTTTAATTAAGTATGTTTTAAGCAATTTAAATTGAAATAAAACACTAATAGCAAATCAATTTATCATTTAAAGCATCGCAGCTTTAAAAAAAAGATGTATCACGTGGATAATGGCACTGTACCTGTTACTTTTGTTAATTTATCACAGCTGTGACTTCTTTGCCTTTTTGGCGCAAGTTCAAACTGCGAAACAAAATATAATATTTCTGTTTCTATTTTGTTCCGTTGTACTTTTGTTCAAAAATTATTTAAAGAGTTTTCCTAAACGCATAATAAATATAAATGAAGTGATTTATTAAAAACAAAAAAGTTCTTCAAATAGAATTAAAATCCACGATTTTGTTCACGAGTCACTAGTGGTTAAATGAACCATTTTTATAAATGAACCTAGAAAGGTGTCTGTGAATGCCAAATCGGAGAAGTGGAAGAGAAAATTGTAAAGTTTTCGCTTAAAATCGCACAGAAGCATCGAGTTGGCTGATACACTGCATCGACCGGTACTCGTACCAACGTTTAATCAATAAATATATAGCAAAATAGTGAAATGAATGTTCCTCCTAGCGCCGCTGGAAATGCGACAGCGGGCTACCCGCCGGCAATTGTGCCCCCGCAAATGCAATTCAACGTGCCGCCGCCGTTTGCACATGGACACGCACCACCACCACCCGAATTGGCGGTTGCTTTTGGTGGTATTCCCCCATCCACTGAATGGACGGAGCACAAGGCGCCGGATGGACGACCATATTACTACAATCAAAATACAAAGCAAAGTTCGTGGGAAAAACCCGAAGCATTAATGACGCCCGCCGAGCTGCTGCACAATCAGTGTCCATGGAAGGAATATCGCTCGGATACGGGCAAGGTATATTATCATAATGTAACCACCAAGGAAACATGCTGGGAGCCACCACCAGAGTATGTGGATATGAAGGCAAAGGCCAAGGCAGAGGAGTAAGTTCATACAGTTTAAGAAATGAAGCTTAATCGGATATTAATGAGACAATCATGTTTTTTTTTTATTTTTCAGAGCTGCTGCAGCTGCGAAAGCTGTGGCCGCTATGACCTCATCTAGCTTAGCGGGTATGGTGCCCCATGCAGCTTTAGCCAATATCCTACCCGCCGCGCTGCCTGCAGCCCCTAGAATAGCCACACCTGAAATACACTCGCCTCTGACGCCGAGCAGCAATGAAAATTCATCCTCAGCGCTGGATCAAGCCATGGCTGCAACGTTAGCCGCTATTGAGGTACCGCAACAAAATTGTAAGAAAACTTGGATAACATGTTTTGGGCCATTATTCACTCCTTTTTTTTATTGGTAGCTAAAAAAGAAGACAACAAATCGCCAGATGCCGGATCAATTGTATTTAAAGATAAACGCGAGGCTATCGAAGCCTTCAAAGATCTGCTGCGCGAACGGAATGTGCCATCGAATGCCAACTGGGACCAATGCGTTAAAATCATATCGAAAGATCCACGCTACACAGCGTTTAAGAACCTCAATGAGCGGAAACAAACATTTAATGCATACAAAACACAAAAGCTCAAGGATGAGCGCGAAGAGTCGCGTCTTCGTGCCAAGAAAGCCAAGGAGGATTTGGAGCAATTTCTCATGTCCAGCGATAAGATGAACTCCCAAATGAAATATTTTCGTTGCGAGGAGGTATTTGCGACTAATCGAATTTGGACTACTGTCCCAGAGCAGGATCGACGTGACATTTACGAGGATTGTATATTTAATTTGGCCAAACGGGAAAAAGAGGAAGCGCGTATTTTGAAAAAACGAAATATGAAAGTGCTAGGTGAACTTTTGGAGTCAATGACATCCATTATGCATGGTACAACTTGGTCTGAGGCGCAGGTTATGCTCCTCGATAATGCCGCCTTCAAAAACGATGTTACCCTGCTGGGTATGGACAAGGAGGATGCGTTAATTGTATTCGAAGAACACATACGAACTCTTGAAAAGGAAGAGGAGGAGGAACGAGAGCGTGAAAAGAAGCGACTAAAGCGGCAACAACGCAAAAATCGCGATTCCTTCTTGGCTCTGCTTGACTCGCTGCATGAAGAAGGCAAGCTCACTTCCATGTCCTTGTGGGTGGAACTGTACCCAATTATATCTGCTGATTTGCGTTTCTCAGCCATGCTTGGACAAAATGGCTCGACGCCACTGGATCTGTTCAAGTTCTACGTAGAAAATCTGAAGGCACGTTTTCACGACGAAAAGAAAATTATACGCGAGATTCTCAAAGAGAAGCAGTTTGTGGTTCAGGCCAAAACTTCCTTCGAGGACTTTGCGACGGTTGTGTGTGAAGATAAACGCTCTGCTAGCCTGGATGCGGGCAACGTAAAGCTGACGTACAATTCATTGCTGGAGAAGGTAAGTACATAATTGCGAGCAGTACCAAAAGTAAATTCATTTTAAACCCACTTAAAATCTTCGACAGGCGGAAGCCATTGAGAAGGAGCGCATGAAAGAGGAGGTGCGACGACTGCGCAAACTAGAAAATGAAATCAAAAACGAATGGCTTGAGGCGAACGTTTCCGTCAGCGAACCTTACGAGAGCGCCAAAAAACTGGTGGAACACTTGGAGGCATTCGCATTATATGAAAAAGAAATCGGCGTCGAGAAGATCTGGGAAGACTTTATAAAGGAGAGTGAGGATGCTTGTAGCCATCACCACTCGCGGTCGCGTAAATCCAAAAAGAATAAAAAACATAAAAAGCGTCTTCGCTCCTGCTCCAGATCAGACATTGAAAATGAGCTTGTAGAAGTTGAAAAAGCAAAACGTCGCCGTTCCAAATCACGATCGGTGCGTACAACTAACTTTCTAATACTTAACAAGTAATTTTTAAACAATTATTTTTACTATCTCCATTCCGCAGCAATCATTGAGCTCTATTGGCAGCATTGAAAGCGAAAAACTGCTCAAGAAGAAAAAGAAACGCAAAAATAAATTACGTTCCCCACGTGCTGTAAGAATCCACATGCTAAACATTATACAAATCCAAATTCCAGAATCAGAGTAGGGCGAAATATCCTCTCTGGCTTGACTGCGAAAAAGAAAGAAAAACATTTGCTGAAATGTTTGCGCACTTTTTCCCATTCAATAAATATTCGTACCCTAATGAATAATCTAAAATCGGATTCCTGAATTTGGCTTCGTATAAATGTAAATGGATATAATCATCATTATCATTTACATCTTATCATTCCCTCTCATTATAGTCCTCCTGTGAATCGGAACTTGGAAATAATACGCCCAGCGCTGCACTCCTGCAAACTGATTCCAACTCCCACTCACCAGCCAAAAAGAAGAAAAAGGAGAAGCGTGCAAAGAAGGATAAAGAAGGCAAACGGCATCGGCACAATCGGTCAACTACGCCGCTCAGTCCCACTCAATCGCTAGAATCGCCCGTTTCGCGAAATGAGGAGCTGGCTCTAAGCGACGCTGAGCTCGAATCGAAACGGGCCGCGCTTTTGGCGCAGCTTAACGAACAACTGGATGAATGACAAGCAAGCGCAAAATCGCAGCAGTTAGCATTAGTCAGCTGTAGTCAATATCGTAAGCAAGCAGTATCCTCTAGTATTCGTCAATCAGACAGCATCAGCAGCAGAGCCGTCACCCACAAACACTGGCAAACAAAGTAAGCGGTATTCCATGATTACTTGGTTTGCTTTCCAAGCACATTTTTAGCGAAGTAGAACCTGATCAGGGGAACTATGTGAATTATTACCGCATGTTTTTGTTTATTTAAGTCCCATGTCTGTTTTAACGTTTTATTAGTAGGCGCACTTCAACTGTTTTGGACTACAGCACTGAGAAAACCTTGCACACACACAAAACAAATACGCCCAACACCATACAGCAAGAACTGTAAGTTTTAAATGAGCTAAGTTTATATGTAACATTTTTAAGATTATCAGCTAACAACTAAATAATGGTAAAGACTTTGCGTCTATGAAAAATTTCGTTGTATTTTTTATGGTGAATCTTCATATTTAAAGGAATGAGACATTACAATCATCTAGTAGCTTGAATATATTTGCAGAAGTCTAAAAAATGATGGGAACACGTACTTATACATCTTAATAAATCTATCTCTAATTCCATCAAGCATAAAGTGAACAATTTTGCTCCTCTTCTTAATCTTAATATCCTGTACTAAATATGGGTACAATGCGAAAGGGTAGAATTCTCAGTACTTCCCTTACAGATTTCTTTAATTATCCCTATTGCTAGACCAAGAACATCTCATACCATGTTGTGTATTAAGTGGGAATATTTAACTGGATTTCGCATTAAAACAACTACAATTCTTTATATGTTGTTTTTAATAAAATTTGAATTAAGACTTTTTCCTTTATACTAAATCCTCTATTGAATGCCAAAGACGGAAACGCATAGGGAAAGTTGCCGTACCTGCCCTTCAGGCAGCACTAGAATTTGAACTCTTTGTATTTCTTTGTGGTCTTGGCTGGATCTGTTTGCTGTCGCTTGCGTTTCGATTTTTGGCGCGCCACATGTTCAGCCAACATATCTGATAGATCCTCTTTCTGCAAATGGTTTTGTTGCTCACGCATTTGTTGTTCGTAACGTTGGGCCATAGCATCATTATCCATGTCCAATTCGCTCGGATCTAAGGCTAACTCCACAATGCCCTCACGATCTGTGGTGGAGCGCGTGGGTGGCTGTTTATTGGCCCCGCCTCCGATGTCATACACATGTGTGGAGGCCATCATTGAAGCTCCTATACGGTCTGTGCGCTTCTCGGGCAATACTTGGTAGAGCACAGGAGTTTCATTGCTTAGAAAATACGAAGGGAGAACAATTTGAACGATTAATTATGAACGGCGTTTCCTTTTTCTACTGATCACTTACTCTTCCATTTCGGCCTCGATTTTCTTCTTGCGCAACTCAATATTCTCGGGCGTTTCCATACCGGCTGGTACGCTTGTTAAGCCTGAAGGTGTAACTAGACCCTCGACCGGCGTTACCAATCCAGTTTCATCCTGCTGATTGCCTAAATCTTCTCCATCATCTTCCTCCTCCTCCGAAGATTCCTCAGACTCGGATTCCAGCTCACCCCATTGATTGCGTTCAATGTCGTTCTCATCAATGGCGTTCTGTATGAATATTTATTAAAAGATCTTAAATCTTAGCACATTTTCATCATATACTTACGTCCAAGTCCAGTATACTCGTGCCGAATACATCGCCGTATAAGGGTTTGCCATTCTCATCCACCGGCGGTTTGCCCCAACCGCCGGCGTGATAACCGAAGGATGTTCCCTCTGGAATTGGTGCATTCAAGCCCGGAATTTTAAGATTCGGATAAGATGGCGGCGGTCCATAACGCTGCTGTGCAATAAGCCATGGCGGCGGTATTTTATGAGAATTGGGACCCACAGGCATACCCAAAGCAATGCGCAACTCTTCGGACAAATCTCCTGGTTTTTTCTCCTTTAGACGCGTTTCGAATTCCTTGCCTTCATAGTAGAGATCGCCATGAATGGTCATGCGAGGTTTGGTCTGCCACTTAAAGAATGCATCATGGAGTTTCTGATAATCAATGTCGATTTTTCCCATCTTAGGACGCACACGTTCTCGCATTTTCGCCTTGAGCGTTTTGGCATCATCGCGCTCCTGCAACGACTCGCGCATTTCCATGATGCCAGTTTTCTTGATAAAGGCGGGAAGATCGAAGGGCGGCTTCTCTATGCCCCGTTTGCCTTGCAGATACTTGCGTTTGAAGCACCAATGACGTGGTACTTGCACTGTATTGCGATAAGCTTTCAGTTGCACCAACAATTTGGGATCTCGTGCAGTAACATCGTGCATTTCGACAACATCAGGCCGTGAGACCAGCTGCTTCAGTTCTGCAACACTGAGACGCGTTAGCTTCTTAAGTTTGCGTTTGGACAGTTTCTCTTTGTCCTCTTTATGTTCCTCGTCATCTTCATTATCGTCATCATCATCGTCGTTCATTTTGTCTATCATCTTCTTGTCCTTGGCGGCTGTTTCAGCATCTAGTGCTGCTTTATCTTTTTCCACAGGCTTCGGTTTATTCTCCAGCTTGAAAATCTCGAACACACGATAAAATTGTCGGTACATAGGTGCCAAATCGGCAATGGTTATTTTTTCGGGCACATATCTGCATGGTGGTCAACATGTTTAATAAATAATTAACACTTTAAGGCTATCAGTTGCACTTACTCAATGGTAACATCGTCCTCCTTATTGTCTGATTGCTTGGTCTTGTCCTCACGTTCTTTTTTCTTTCTGCCACGTTTATCTTTGTGTTTGTCCTTCTTTTCTTTTGCAACTGGCTGTTCAGCGTCATCACCATCTGCTGCATTTTTGACCTCAGCTTCGTTTTCTGGTTGCTCCGTCGCTTCCTGCTCGGCACTTGCTCCATTTTCCAACGCACGTGCTTGTTGCCGTTCGTTCTCAAGTTGATGCCGCAATTTTTTATTTAGCTTCTTTCGACGTTTCTTCTTTTTGTTTTTCTCTGCCTTGCTTTGTTTGCCTGATTTCTCTGCCCCTCCACCGTTCAAAGTATGTTCTCCATCGTCTTCACTGTCCTCCCCTACGTCAGCAAAGTCACCATCGTGCAGCGCACCAGTACCTGCTTGCAAATCTCCTATGCTGCCAACATCATCAAGTTCGGCAACGCGTTGATCCTTGAGTGCCAGCACATCTTCTAAAGCTTTTGGCAGCACAAGCTCAGTGGTGTTTTTCTCATCACCAGTCCCACCACTTTCCACCCCGCCAGTTCCATTAGGTCCACCATTCGCAGCAAATTCACCAGAGGCGGCAACACCGTCTACAGGCTGATCAAAGCGTATGGACATCAGTGGTGGAGGTTGTCCTTGACCCTATTGCAAATATTTATGTTTCTCACTCTATTTGAAACTTTTAAAAACGCACTTACATCTGAGATAAATTGATCGGCCATAAATTAACAAATTTCTTTCCAAAACAGCACAGAAAACAGACTCGGCGAAAAACAATTAGGGTGGCCATGCGATATTGCGGTCCAGGTATGCATAGTTAAAGCAAATTATCGATAATTTATTGTCGTCTCCATAAATAACAACAAAGTGGAGTAGCGTGGAATGGTAAACAATAAATAAAATTATTTTTATCAATGTAAAAAGTGGTAAATACAACATAAATGCTTTTAGCAATTGCCTAAACTATGAATAATTAAATCGTTTTCAGGTTCTTCGATGATAGATTAACTTCTGCTTTCGTAACACGTGGTTTAGTGAGCGGTACCGGTACCTAACAAAATACCTTGCAGGAACAACGTAAAATATTACTTTATTTGTAAATTCGAATGGTATGTAATAGCTTTTAAATAAAATATTTAATCAACAGGCACTACAACCATCGTTGGTCCACAGGGCGTCTCACATCGCTTCGAAATGTTTAAATTCAATTTCGAAGTAGCCGAATCGTCCGTTGAGGAGTTAGGTCCAAGTCCTTTGAAAAAGATAAAAAGTGATGATTCAGAAATAACAAATTCAGATAATGATGAAAATTGTATAAAGTGGTATCTAGCCGAGAAAGTAATTCCTACTGAAGCGTTATTTAATAACTTGGACCTGTTCGAACTTAATTTAAAAGAACGGAAAGTGGGAACTCTAGAATTGCGACATTTAATAGCCGGCTTTTTGCTTGAGGATATTAAGACTCATAGCGATGTGGATAGTCGCGATATAAAGAAGTCTGAGGAAAGCCACTCTGATCTAATAACAGGAGTTTATGAAGGTCAGTATGCGACAAAGTATCCTTCCTTCCAAACATAAAATACTAAATTATTAAAGGAGGTGCAAAAATTTGGGAGTGCACTGATGACTTGCTGCTCTACCTGTCAGAAAACATTGACAGCAATTACTGGGCAGATAAACGTGTTCTAGATTTGGGATGTGGTGCTGGCTTATTGGGAATATATGCGCTGAAAAGTGGTGCCAAAATAGTTGACTTTCAGGATTATGTGAGTAATTTATTAATGACATTTTAACCTACATAACAAAATTGAAAATATAACGACATTGAATTACAGAATAAGGATGTTTTAGAACAAATCACTTTACCAAATGTTCTTTTGAATTTGGAACAGACTACAAACGCAGAGAAATTGAAGCAGTTAAAGACTCAAACCAATTTCTATGCTGGCGATTGGGCACATTTCGCAGAGCTCACGGACAAGATGGAAAAATACAACATCATACTGACCTCGGAAACAATTTATAATATAGAAAATCAACAAAAGCTATTAGACACCCTGAAAAAACGTCTAGCACTAGGGGGCGTTGTTTTAGTTGCAGCCAAATCACATTATTTTGGTGTGGGGGGCGGCCTAGAACAATTTATTGATGTGGTTAACAAAGATCAAGTGTTTAAAGCAAAAAACCTTTGGCAAGCTTCCGAAAATCTAAAGCGAGGCATTCTTGAATTGAAATGGCAATAAAGTAAAAAAATGTTTAAAAAAGGCCGGTCTTGTGCTTAAATTATTACTCGAGACACGCTGTTGTGCACAGGGCTGTTCATTTCAATAGGGAGATTTGTTATCGCGAGTCGGCGGCTCGTGGGGTTGGTTGTGCAAAGTTGTGAGTAATTTTCAGATAATTTTTTTTCAAATGTTTAATGACCGTTTAACGGGGATTTGTTATGTTGTGCATAGAGTGTCATAGCTAATCAAACAATTCTTGTGCATGCTGCGTGGATTTCTTTTGGGAAATATCCGCACAACAACAACGCCATTGAAATAACTTTACCTGCAAATCGATGCCCAATAATGTTGCAGCAACGGGAACGAAACGCAACAACGTTTCAAGAGCAACAACAACTGCACTTTGCTGCTGCGAATACATAGCGCATGATAACGAGCGATTTCACATTTTAGGATGCTGCTGTAATTGCGAAGATTTTGACTTGGTATGCACGCGGTATGCTGAGCCCAACTCACACAATCACATACCCACTAACTGCATCCTCTTCTCTTTAGGCTCATCACGTGTAGACGCATCGAACAGCGCAACATAGACGGCATGTTAATAGCTTTCCAGGATCGTTTACGTATACCATGGCATGGAGGTGCAAAACGGGTGTCCCCGGCCGCTTTGGCACCCGGGCTAATCGTACCATTAATGTTGGGACTGGCAGCGTTGAATGCCAATACGGCCATGGTACTGATGCTCACACTGGTGGGGTTTACTATCTGGGGACTGCGGCTGGCTGAACGCACAGCCACACGCACCACTTTCTTCCTTAGCTGGCTTATATTTTCTTTGCTCTATATGATCATAATTTTTGAGTTCGAAGTGCCATTATTGGAGCTATTGCCGGAAGAGAACTGCATCTTGGTGCTTATTTCGGCCGCGTCACTTTATTGTTTTTTTCGCACCAAGCAGCTGGCACCCCAGAATTTTGTAACCGCACAATATGGCACCACGCCTAGGGATGAGCTGCCCGGCATAGCCGAAGCATCTAGTGGCGAGGAGCAAGCAGAACAGCAGGAACATGAGGCAGCCACGGCACACATATCGCTGCAAATGGACAATGTGTTGAACATCGATGATGATGATCTTGGTGGGGCTGGTGGTTCGGAGGGCGCCAGTTTGATGCATTCACAGCCAAATATTTGCGAGATATGTCGAAAGTGCACTCCCACACGTAGTTCCCATTGTGCCGTCTGTGGAAGTTGCATCAAGAGGTACTCGCATCACAGTTTTTGGCTTAACTGTTGCATTGGCGAGCTCAATTATCGTTGGTACCTGCTTGGCCTAACCACTGCTGAGCTGGCGTTGCTGTTGGGCGCCAATCTCACACTGACCGCAGTGTGTCATCCGTTCCTGGTAGTGCGGTTTTTGGGTGTGCCCTTCTTGCTGCCTGACGACTGCAGCGAAGTGTTCGAGGACTTTGAGTAAGCAGCTTCCCATATCTTAATTCCAATTATATTCAATTACTAACTTCGTTTCCATATTTTTCGTATGGCTTCCAGATTGGGTATATCTTTTGCGGTTGCGGGCTATGCTTTGCTCATGGCGAGCTATATAGGCTTCGATTTAATGCGGCAGTTATATGCATGGCGGCGTGGCAACACCCTACATGAATTTAAGCGCACAACCTTGCCTAGTCGCAATCGCTTATGGAGTAATCGGCGCACTTTTTTCAAATGAACTGTTTACGCATCAAATTATTACAACGCAAATCCAAATAATTATAAGTGTGCGGGTACTTAATATTGTACGAAAGTATTATACCAACTGAATGACTAATCTAATTTAATTTGCTAAATCATTAAGCTTAAAGTTTTATGTGAATAAACGGTTCTTACTACGAATCGCTGTAGAATTTAATTGTAGCAACATTTTAGCTGACATTTAATGTTGGAAGATACTATGTTTGTGTTAATATGCTTATATGACTACCCTCACTTCCAATAAGTCACAATTGTAAGTAAAAATATCCCAAATATTAGCTGTTTATAATTTTATTGAGCGGATGTTGACAAGTAGTCTTAAATATTGGAGATTTTAGCAAAAACCTTACTTGTACTTGTACTTACTCATAAATGACATGTTCAAGTTTATCTTAATTTTCAAAAGTTGATAAATTATTTAAAATATTTAAGATTTAATCCAAAAATATGTTACTTGCATGAAGAGTTGTATTATTTAAATTCAATTACTATTAGCTTCAAGGAAGTGGCTTTTTCAAATTAAAAGGTAAAATTTTGGGGAAATATGTAAATTGATTTGATCGCTAATAGAATTGAACAAAAGGGGAACTCGTTTTGATTGGTTAGATTCATCAGATTGATATTATGTATGTGTAATGACGAAGTCAAATACGTAGAAATTTATTAATTAATCAATAAACTCCGCTGAAAGACTAAAACTGATACTCTTTTTTCGAAAGAATTTGTGAGTTCTTTTTGCAGAAATAATGTCCCCTATAAAATGAAACAGGTATGTTAGTTTTTAAATTTGTAATAAAAATATGAAAAGGACATTTCAATTGTTTTTTTAGTATTGTATTATGAGCAGATCTACATTGGACGCATTTTTTCGGGTGAAAAAATAACACATCGTTGCAAATGGAAAGAAATTAAACCGCATTAAAGGTTTCCATTGGACATCGATTAAGCTACATACATTTTACTCATGGACTATATTTAACGAAAATTTGTTTGAAAAGTCAACGTATTAAGGTAGGAATAATAGTTCCGAACAGAAAGTAGTAACTCGGAAAACAAATATATGCTACTTGCAAATCCTTAACTCCACAGAAATGTTATTATTGATTGCAGGATAACTATTAATATATTTACAATAATAAAATAAATTGATTTAGAGGAAGTAAAGTTTTATAAGTGAAAATCGACATAATAAGGTTAAAATACGATTATACAGAGGGCAGACTAAACCAGAAATTGGATCTTTAGATTTATGTTAAAATTATGTCTTCTAAGTTTCCATTAAAATAGATTGTTAACATGTTAATTTGAGAAAGATAAACTTTTTAACACAAACCGCTTAAAAATTAACAAAAATAACTAAATATAGGCTACCACAAACTATTCTCCCGTGGCTTGTAGTCCGGTAACAGTTCCCAGATCTTCATGCGCCAGCGCTGTCGTCGCTCCTCCGTTTCCCTCTCCAACTGCAATATCTGCGGAAGACGTTGCCAACAGTCCAGAACCTTCCATTTCAAGTGCCTGTATATTTGAAGCAATACCATTAACTTAGCCCCTATTATTCTAGACTTATTATTTTTCTCACCATTCATGATGCGATATAGCCTGCCGCATTTTGGTGTCCTCCGTCAGCTTACAGTGTGTAGTGTAGTTTAGCCATCGCATAAACCAATGCTCCGTAGCATGCAGGGCATGCCAATCAATGGCCACTAGCATCTTGCTGCGCTCCTCCTGAACATATCGACACCAGATGACAAAGGCACTCCTTTTCAGCGCCCGTTCATGGCATTGCTCTGCCTTAACCATTTTCTCCCGTTGCCGATATGCCGTATAATCGCGCCAAGCCACAAAATAGTTTCGCATATACAGCTGCCTACGAAACTCTAGACATTTGGCCAGATTGTCGCGCTTGCGCTGTAACAGGCGCTTAAAGCCCTCCATCCCTACACGGCGCAGCAGCAAGAGACGGCTAAATTCCAGCGCCTTTCGCTGATTCTCAATGAAGCGCTGACGTTCGCGTTCCTTCAGAATTTTAGCCATTTTCTCCTGACGTCGCTTCTCCTTTAGCACTTCAATACGCAATCGTTTAGCCTCCTCATCCTCCTGGCGCTGAAAATTATATTTAAATATTACCTTATTGGGATTTGCTATTGCTGTTTAAACTCCTGTTACACTATTATTTGAAATATGGTTTCGCTAAATATTCTAAAGAATCAAAGCTATAGAAACTCTAGATGTTGTTTGAAATCTTCAGAAATCGTTTGATAATTGTAAGTAGACTATAATTTACACCATTTATGCTGTGTTGGTATGCTCTCTACCTTTGTTGGGTTACTAAAAATAATATTCAGAGATAAAAATTCCAAAAAATTCAGAGAAATTCTAGTACTTCATTATTATACTTCCAATAAAGTGTCAGACTTTTAATTTGTAAGAAATGTGCAATATTTAAATGAATGAAAATAAGTTCTAGACTGATGGGATGCTCTCTACAATTATTGTAATTCTTTATGGTTATTACAATTGTGGTTTCTTTCGGGGCTGTTAAATTTCGAATTTGTGTCCCCTTCCAAATATTGGGGATTTCTTTTTACTTTAATGTATAATGTAGATACATATGTACATACCTTGGCATCTTCTAATGCCATTTTAGCCGCTTCACGTTCAGCGTCGGCCTGAGCTCGACGCTGACGGGCCTGTTCATGTTTAATGCTGCGTTCTAGGGCGCGTTCCTGCATGTGTTGCAGAAATCGAGGCTGTAGCAGGGCCTTGCCTTGTAGGCGCGCCATTTCCTCATCCTCGGCATCGCGCAGACTGCCTATTAACTGCAGGCACTTGGCCTTGGCCTTTGCCTTGGGATCGCCACAACGTATGACAGTCTTTAGCTCCTGCTTGAGATCTTCGCGTGCTTCCTTGGCCTCTTCGCTCAGCTTGTTCAGCTTCAGTTGTAGGATCATGCGTTCTTGGCGTTCCAGCTTGATTCGCTGCAAGTCAATAATGTCCTGCTGCACTTTAATCCTGTAAAAGTTGTATGAGATGTAGACTTTCCTTTTTGCGAACGTATTCTGCTTGCTATCTTACTTATTTTTAAACTGTTTTGCCATTTTAATAGCCTCCTGTCGCTCTTCCACACTTTTCTGTGCCAGCTGTTCCTTTTCTGCGGAGCTTGGAACACTTTTGGCCGTCTTCAGACGCTTCTTCTCTAGCCGCACTTTGTCGAGAAACGCGTTGATTTTTTGTACGCGGTCCCCACGCGTTTTCCCATTTTCTCGCTCAATTCTCTCAATGGTTGTGTAATGTATCCATTTGAGGAAATACTTGCGCATTGTGACCAGCTGGGAGTTGGCACGCGCCTGGAAGAGCTGACCAATAATACGCTTCTTCTCATGCACATTCATTTCGCCTTCATCATCCAGGTCGTCAGCGTCACTGGTCGTTGTACTCCCCGTATTCTCCGGCTCAGGCTCTTTGGGCTTAACGACCACCCTGGGCTCCATGCGCGTTATAAGCAGCGGTTCCAGTTCCTCAATGGGTGTGGGAGCTTTCTTAAGTTGCTTCGCTTCGGCCTCATCAATTTGAAACTGCACATGCTTGGCAGCAGGTGCAGGTGTAGCCACGGGTTCCAACACTGTTAAAGCCGTTTCCACCTGCTCCTTTTGCTCCTCGGCCGCTTCCATTTGCAGCTCGTACAAGGCCTCTTCAGCCAGATCCGATATGACCGAGTCGATGCCATCGCTTGTATTGGAACAGGTAGAGGGCTCGCGTTCTAGCTTGTGCTGTGCCTTTTCCGCCTGCTCCGCCAGATCCTCCTCACGTCGAACCGTGCGGATGTGCAGCATTTGACGTTCGGCAGCAGCACGCATGGGTTTGAAGAACTCATCGGTGGGTGTTAGTGGACTCGGCGTGCGACAGCGTTCTAAGAGGGCCTTACTCTCATCCACCTGCACTTGCTTGGCAAAGTTACGATACTCCAGGGTATCCAGGTCTATGGTAGTCTCCTCTTCGACAGCTAATTTTTTGTCAGTCAGAGTCACATTTTGCACCCAAGTCTCTTGTTGCATCATAAAGTTTTCCATATCGGCATCCTTCTCGGCCGTAAGTTCCTTTAGTAGAGAACTGGTGGCCGCCTGTTTGCGAGCTCCACACATTTCCATGGCCTGACTCAACGCCTGCACTGGAGTCGCATAGAAATCTTCTATGTGCTGAGCCGCTTGCGTCAGACTCTGCATCAATGGCCGATTGTTCAGCTTAAAGTCCGGCTTGGTGGGTCGTATACGAAAATCCTGAATGTTTCTGTGTTTTTTGGCCAAATGCTGACGGAATTGTTGCAACTGATTGTTTATGTAGCGCTGCTCCACCTCCAAGTTATGTGCCCTGGTCAAGTCTAGGTTTCTACGATTGGCCACTGTGGCTAGCGGCAGCTTACGGGGTATTTGCTGGAACTGGTAGAGGATCATTAGCGTTAGATCTTATAGATATATTACATTATTTGCATTACCATCTCATGGCGAATATCCATAATAACGCTGGGATTCAGTTTCTTGCTGGGTTCCGGCTCACCCTCGATTAATAGACGCTCATTGTGCTTACCAATGTAGTCCGTTTCAATCAAACGCCGCACGGCATCAGTTTTTAGCGCTAGGGTATTTGTGTTCTGATGACGTTTTCGTATGCGATCCCAGCGTGTGTCCTTGTAAGACTTTTCGCGACTTTTCCATAGGGACATTATATCGAATTTTTCACAGCAAATATTGCCAAGACTATGTTGATTCTATAAAACAAATCTGAATTATGAAAACCAACATACTTACATGTATGTATAAACAAGTTGCCAGCGTTGCCCAGCAACGGGTTTCCTTTTTCTCAAAAGCCGGCATGGTCTGAGTTGCTTTTCTTGTAAAGTTTTATTTCAAACTACAATCACATCAAATTATCATTTTCTTAATATCTTTAAATCATCTTACAATTTAAAAGTTCACCTTTAATTGAAATATTGATCATTTAAGTAAATTTTTAAAATATTACCAAACTTGTTTTAATAGAAAATTATTAGAAAATCGGGAGCTTAGCTAATGTGAAACTACTGGAAATAAACTACTCGAAAGCCTTTATCCATATTAGCGGAACATACCATTCTTCACAAGATAATACAAAAACGAGCTTCCGTTTTTTAAAAGTCCAAAAATTTAAGCTGCAGTTACCCATGTTGTAGGTATTTTAAAAACTTCGTAGATAAGATAATGAGATATATGTTTAAAAACAGATATTGATTTTAAATGGAATGTTGTTAGGCTATTTGCAATGAAGGAAAACACTTTTTCTATATACTATGTATGTATGTTTGGATTCGGTTGAAACTTGTGCTTGTATATGTACTAAAAAGCTGCATTTGAAGCGCATTTTGGATCGAATTTTATTATCATAAAAATTACATAAATGCCATAAATAGAAAATCTAACATAGACATAAACAAATTTAGAGTTGAAAGCGTAGTTGTTTGTGTTCTAATAATGAGTCGCTTATCAGCTTAGGCAGCTGCATCTTTCTTGTTCTTCTCCTTTTTGCCCTTGGCAGCGGCAGCAGCCTGTTCCAAATCAATGGGCGCCGGTTTAACAAAAGGAATCTCATCTTGGAACTTGGCCGGCATATATTTTTTCAGAGGCTCTGGAACCCTAACACCTGTCTCCGTCTGATGTGTTTCCAGAATGGCGCAAATGACACGCGTTGTGGCGCACATAGTAGCATTTAACATGTGCACATAATCCACTGCAGCATTCATCTTTTTCGTCTGGCCATAGCGAACAAGTAGACGACGTGCCTGATAGTCTAGGCAATTGGAGCAGGAGACCAGCTCTCTGTAGGCGCCGCTGCCACCGAACCAGGCTTCCAGATCAAGTTTCTTGGAGGCAGCATGATTGAGGGCGCCAGAGACGATGTTGACCACACGATATGGAATGCCCAACGATTGACAGAAGTTCTCTGCATTGCCAATCATTTCGTCCATCATTTCCCAAGATTTATTATCATGTGGCGAGGTAAGCACGAATTGTTCGATCTTCTCAAATTGATGCACGCGGAATATGCCACGGGTATCGCGTCCATGTGAGCCGACCTCCTGGCGGAAGCATGTAGACAAACCGGCATATTTAATAGGCAGTGAAGTCTCTGGCAGCCACTCGTCACGATGATATGCCGCAATGGGCTGTTCCGAAGTAGCTATCAAATACTTTTCATCAGTGCCACCCTCCTCAGCCCGCTCGCTACCCTTGCCGACAACTTTATACAGCTCCTCGTCGAATTGCGAGAGCTGCGCCACCTCCTGCATGACTTCCTTGCGCATGAAGAATGGTGTATAAAGCGGCGTATATTCGCGGGCATACAACAAGTGTAGGGCATGCTGAATGAGCGCTTGTTCGAGGAATACAGCGGCGCCAGTGAGAAAATAGCCACGCCCACCAGATACTACAGCACCCTTTTCGGCGTTCATGCCATCGATCATAACAATCAGATCAACATGAGAATATTTTCCGCGCTTCTCGCAATCCCCAAAGGTGCGCTCCACTCGATTCTCATCCTCGTCATTGGAGACGGGCACAGACTCATGCAGGTGATTGCCCACCTCACGCAGTGCCGTGTTTCGGGTTTGTTCAGCAGCCTCCAGCAACTTTTGGTTTTCAGTCATGGCATCGTCGATGAGTAAGCGCAGCTGTTTAATTTGATTCACAGTCAATGACTGCAGCGTCTCGGCCGTAATTTGGGTCAGATCCGCGCGTATGGCGGCCGGCACTTCTTCGCCTTCAGCACCGACGGGCTCCTTTTTCTTCATCTTCTCGCCAATTACTTTGCTGCAGACATTTTTCACCTTGTTCAGGTTGTCGGCCCGATGACGTCGCTGACGCCATTCGGAGTCCTTCTCAATTACCGTCTCGACCAGTCCTACATCCTTGAAGCGCTTCTTTTGGTTCTCGCGCACAGCATCGGGATTACCGCCCTTATCGCTGCGAAACAAATCCAAATCGAGTACCATTATTAAATTTCAATTATGCACTGCGAATTTCGTCAACCGCCGTCTTCTTGTTCGATGTCTTCACAACGTGGCTGAATGCTATAAGACCGTATTGCGTATATTAAAAAATACCGAAGCCGCTTAGATTGCCTCCGCCAAACACTTCAAACTCACTTGTGTCACCCTGTGCTACAGACAGCTGTTGTTAATAACAATACCATACCCGTTTCTAATGTTTTTTAAATGTGGTTATTGTGGCGGTCCGTAAACGTCATCTGTCAGAAAAGTTAATATTTTTCCAAAAAACATAAACCTGCGTAATGGATATAGTCAATGCTGAAATTTCTGATATACGCGGCAATTGTGAACAGCAAATAGGAAATACAAAAATCATTATTTGTAGCGCCTCTCTTGTGCGCATCGACATATATCCTGATAAGCCGAACCGCCAGATGACAGTTTGCTTACGTTTTCCCGAAAACTATCCTGGATCCCCAATTCTAGTAGAACTTAAGAGCCGCATCTACTCGGACAAGCTGCTGTCGGAGCTGACACGCCTCATAGATGACTATGTACGCGATTATCTTGGTAAGCCGCAAGCGATGTTGGTACTTCGATTCGCCCAACAATATCTGCACGACAATCCGTTGTGTGTTTGCCTCGACGAGATAAAACAGCTGCGCCAGGATCTAAAGACCCGTGTCGCTTGTCTGGATTTGGCCGAGACAAACAAAAGCGATTCGGATAGTCAACTAAAACTGCGACAGCGGAACAGCAGCGTTGAATTGACGGCGCGTGGTGGTCGTTATGAGTACCGGGTTACTGCCACCGTGCCTGACACGTATCCGGTGCAGTGCGTGGAGCTCACCTCACCGGAATCAAATTTACCAGCTGTACTTGTTCGCTATCTGAATGGACAATCGCGAGAGATTGCGAGGCAGTGTGTTGAGCCACCGTTGCGGCTCAGCAAGGAGGAATTGGCTAATTTTCGACCAGTACGCAGTCTTTATCGCACACTTAAATTTTGCCTGGAGGCCACACGTGATTTTTACCGCGAATTGTGTCCCATTTGCGAGAACACAGTCTTGCCTGTCAATCCGGATGATGTGGTACTCAATGACAATAGTGATACGTATGTGGAGCGCGTCTACTGCGGTCATCTATTCCATCAGGGTTGTTTGAAGCGTTACATGGCCGAACCGCCATTTCCCAAAGGTGGTAAATTGTGTCCCGCCAAGCGTCGCCATCCGCGCTCCGATGCTCAGACCTATATGGGCAAATCCAGCAATGCAGCAAGCACCTCAAAGCAATTGGATAATGTGGTCTGTGGCATAAAGCTTGCACATGATCGTTGGGTAGTGAACGTCAGGACAGCTGAGGCACGTTGGGCTCAGAAACAGGCACGACAACGTGAGCTAGAGGAGGTTGTGGAATTTCTACAGTAAAATCCATCTTTGTACTTTACATATGAATGTGATTTTTAATTGATTCGAATACGCTTCTAATGCTAAGGGTGAAGTAAAGGGTTTAATAAATATATAAATGAGGGCACATACAGGTCTTGTGCGTTATGGTCCTGTGACTAGCTAGGATTTGTAGAAGGTAAAAACGTAAAAAAATTGCTTTGGAAGACCTCAGAAATCAGTCACTATTTCATCGTCCTCGTGCCGCTTTATGGGGTCGCCTTTGATCAGCGATGAGATTAGACTGAAGTAAAAGAAAATTAAACTTATAGCGAGTGTTGCTATACTAAAATTAACTTTAAACTCACCAGTACAAGCCCACAAAGAACATGACGAAATAGTACCCCAGATAGATCATGCAATTGCGCAAATGCACCTTAAGTAGACCCCGACTATGGATGTCGACGGGATCATACACACCCAGGCTGTCTCGTTGCTGTCGATTCAACTCATAGAAAAGCCACAATACCATGGGCAGATTGAGTAAAAACATTATCCAGTGGCCACCCAAAAGGAGAAGAAGGCAGAGTATTGCATGCGAACCAAACTTGGGAATAACCCAGAAATTCAGCCGACGACAGCATTCCTGTGCATTTAAATAGTCGCACTCCAAGTCGGCCAATGTTAGTACCTGTAAGCCAATATACACAATTATAGAATAACCGTTACAACAATAAATAATTAAACACAACCAACCGTACATAATAAATAAGGAGTAAAAGAATCGCGCCATAGACCAGCAGCGTTATGCAAAATGTTGCCGTCTCTGGCAGAAACATAATTGCACTGAAGATTCACAGTTTATGCTTACAAATAAATTGGCTTATTAGTTCTGAAAAGCATCAAGACGAAAGAGCAGCTGTTAATAAGTACTGACGAATTTCCGATGTTTTTGGCCCCACATTTACCTTAGCTAACGTGCTTTTAAGGCATCGGCTCCACGCATTTGGAATTTCGGGGCTAGCGTGTTTATCCAATTGTCTAAATAAATCATCTATCTCAAGAATACGAGCTTCTTTTCTCTCATGCTTAATAGCTTAAATTAAATAATTGCAACAACGACTACGAATTTGCACATTAACGCCGTCATGTTCAAGGCGGTGGTTGGCACAGGACTCCTCCACTGAATCTAAGAGTCCAGTTCAATTTGCTGAGTTCCTTCAGTTGCAATAATTTAACAATTTTATTTATTTATTTATTTATTTTTATTTTATTTATTTATTTTTTATTATTATATACCTAATGCCTATATTAAATTTATAAATTAATAAATATAAGCAGAATTAAATGAATAAATACAAGAGAATCCGTGTACAAGTTCAGTTGTTCCAATCAATGACTGGTTCAATTGAACTTATACAGTTCTAGAAAATCTTATTTATGTACATATGCGCTGGAGTTCTGGCTGGCATCAGCTGTTGATAAATAATTGGAAGCTACAAATTTATGTTTTATACACTTTTAAATGGGTGGCAAGAGCTATTACTGCGATTATTGTCGCTGTTTCATGAAAAACGACTTAAATGTTCGCAAACTACACAATTCGGGTCTATCGCATACTGTAGCTAAGGTTACCTTTATGAAGCAATTTGAAGGCAAGTAGAATTTCTATAGGCAATAAATACAAATTAAATAAATTTCACAATATGTTGTGCTTTTTAGATCCTCGCAAGCTACTGGAAGAGGAGCGCGCCAAAATTCCCTGCACACGGTATTTTAGCGGCTATTGCAAATTTCAGCTTTTCTGTCAATACCGGCATTTTAGTGACAAGCAATTGGCGAAACTAGAAGAAATTGGTGCGTAATACAGACATACATATGTATGTATGTATATTTGTTTGCACATGCATATGTATTAATATATAAACATACATATGTATGTATTTCAAATATTTATAATGTGCGATAAAACGGACGCACCCACCTTCTTATCTTCGCTTGGTAATAAAACGGCGTAACCAAAAAGTAAAAGTATTTTTAGAACGAAATTTTATGAAACAGGGGTTTTCCTGCTTTGCAAACAAGCAATGATATCATAATTTGTAAACAATTTTAATATTTGTATAACTGACCGGGCACACCTCGGTTCATGGGTATTTTATATAAAACCGGGAATTCCTGCTAATTGGTGCCTAATTGATCATGGGATAAGAATTTTCCATAGTCAGCCGAGTCCTGTATCTTTTGCTCTGAAGTCTGTAATTTCCTTTCTCTTTCCAGTTTCTCAGCTAAAAAAGTCGCACAAGAGACAGTTCAAAAAGCGTCAGGCAAAACGTTCGTATAAGAATCTGCCACCTTCCTTGCAGCATATAGACGTTAGCAAGCTCAAGCAAATACATTTTGAAACCAGTTGGGGCTAGACATATACAAACATATGTACATAAGTTAAAATGTATGTATGTTTTTTAATTACGCATAATAAAATGTTAATTAATGCTTAAACTTTAAATCCAGTTGTATCATTTAATAATTGTAATTAGACTTTAAATATATGTACATAAATTACAATTGTCATAAAAATTCAGTGTATATTTAAATTAATACAAAATCTATATAATAAATATGTATGTGTAAACATTTAAATATTTTAATTACTCAACAATTGCATCACTTTATTCATAATGCGGGCAACCTTTAGATTTAAACGTAAAATCCGCGCAAATTCATAATGGTATGACTTGGGCGAATGCCCGCTAAGATTTTCTTCATCGGGATCCGCAAAGTGTGCCAGCAGGAAATAGCAGAAATGCTCTGAAAATAATTGAATTTGATTGAATAAACGTTTGTATAGTTTTATAACAATAATTTAAGCATACGCATTTCCCCTTCAATGGCGTAAAAGAGTGGCACATTGCCACCCCTTGCCTCAGTCGTGTTTAGCAGTTCGCGCTTTAATCGCTGATCATGTTTCTTATTCTTCTCCAACTTTTCGCATTCCCGCTCATAAAATTTGGCAAATTTCTTCTCTTCAGAGAGCTCTGTATTTTTGCTATCGGCAGTTTTCGTAGCTGTGTCCGCCTCGTTGGTGGTGCGATTATAAATGGGTTTGCCTAGGACACGTTCATCAATGCCATCGCAAATAATCTCGGCCTGTTCGTACTGATTGCTACGAACCGCAATGTGCATTGCTGTATACCCATCATCATTCTTCTCAAGCAATAAATTCAAATCTATTCGACGCATCAATTCACGCAACGAGTCTAGTTGTATGTTATTAATGACGGCCAAATGAACGGCATTGTTCGAGTCCTCGTATATATGATTTGGCATGACACCAGCTCTTAACACAATTTGAATAATTTCTGGGGCACAATCACTCGTGATGGCCAATTGTAGACAATCCTCTCCATCTGCAGTGACCAAATCGTTGAAGTCGGTTGAGCATTGCCGTAGTTTGGACCAAACGTAAATCTGCCGCTTCAGACCGCAAATATCGTCCCGCAGAATCGCATCGTGGATGGGTCTAAAAACGAAATGTATAACTGTAAGAAAAACATAACTATGTATGTTCAATAAATGCATACTTACAGCAAACCTTCTACGCTTATATTGCCAGCCATCAAACATTCTTTAAGCATTATTTTACTAATTGCAACTCTATTGTCGTCATTAATATAATTTTCCACAAATTGGCACATATCGTGCACATTTTCGCTAGTTATGGAAAAGTTGGAATCTACCGAATCTTGGCGCTGTGACATCCTTTTCGTTTCTGTTTCAGGATTTCGCTTCTATTAAGAGAGTACAGCAAAAGTACTAATTAATATTATCAATTTCTAATAGCTACAAGAGTACGTACCGGTGATTCCACTTTCTTTTTTTTCACCACAGGTGTTAGCTGTTTTTCCTCACGCTCCTGTAGAGCCATTTGTGCTGCCGATCGTTTAACAACCTTGGGTACGCAGGTGTTACGCTTTCGACCACGTTTCCGTGCAATCACGGCTGGCGGGGCTTCGCTTTGTGGTTCATTTTCAGATTTTTCAGTTGGCTCCGTTTTGGTAGGCTTTTGATTAAAGGTCCTAAGATCTGGTGATGGCAGAGGTGCTTGGGTTGACTTTGTCCCTATTGCCGATAATGGAGCTGTTTGAGTGCCAACATCTACCTTTGATACACGTTGCTTACAGTTTTGGCAGATAACGTTCTTATCACTGCTATTATTCATTGCCTCGATCACACGTTGTTGGAGCGCCTTATCTGGGAGGCGCATAAGTAATTTGAAGATCTCCTGGTATGTGGATTTAAAGGATTGGCGCTGCATGTATGTATTTGTTATGACACTTGTGGTACGTGTCACTTCAATTGCAGATCTATCTATTGGCGTGGCTGCCGTCCCGATTAATTGTTGTTGCTGTTTTTGCTTTGCTGCTAAATCCACGGGAGCCACGCATATGTGCTGCGATTTAGTTAATAACACTTTCTTCATCATCGATGAATCTTTATAAACTGCTGCTACGAGTAGAAGATGTCAGATAGGACTATTTTGTGGGGTTTCCAGTTTATTATTTAGCTTTTCACAAAATTATTTAGGTTTTTCCCCACACGCGCTGCGCACACGACTGTGTTTATGTCATTGATTGGCCACACTTATCTTATCAGTGCACTCGATACATTCCGGGATATTTGGATTCTTGATACTGAAACACTATCCATATATTTAAAAGAAGACTAGTCCAGGTGCCATTCGCTAATTGTATTCGATTGCATTATTCTCTTTTAAAAGTGGCAAATAATGCAATAGCAGGTGACATTACAGCAATAATAATATTGGTATTTTATTTCAGCCAACCCTTGTGCAACACTGCTGAGTATTCGATAGTTACGTTTACTGTGAGTGTCAAAACAGGCCCTGAGAATTTTTTCCTTGTGTGCTGGCTCAGATTGCTACCTTTTTTTGTTAGTAAAAATTCGGGATAATTTAAAAAAAAAACACGCTCGGTCGCTAACACGAAAGAATACAGATAAAAGGCAATATATACGCAGTTGAATAAATTCGTGAGTTTGGATTGCTGTAATTAGAGAGTTTGTATTGTGGGCCGTCACGCTGGTCTCTGTTCTGAGCGACATATTGTTGTAATGTCTTTTTGGATAACGTTTTAACTACGGATTTGATTAGACACAGACTCTCAACATGGATTCTCGCTATGGTCGTAATTTTTCGGGCGGAGGCGGTGGAAGACGCTTTAGTCGCTCGCGTTCACGCTCCCGGTAAGTGCAGCTCACACACACACATACGAATACACATAATAGGCATATGTATACATTTGGACATGCTTAAATGGAATTTTTACAGGGAACGCAGTCGGGAGCATAATTTTAGAAGACGTAATTCACGCTCTCGGAGCCGGGAGCGTGCATCTTACTACCGGAACACGGGCAGTGCCGATAAGGACTTATATCGGGATCTAATTAATGAAGATTATAAAGAAGAACGTAATTATGGTGGACAGTCGCGCAACTATGACCATGTCTCGCAACGTCGCGAAGATAACTTTGATAATGAACGTGACCAGCGGGATATGCGTGATCAGCGCGAGCCGCGAGATCAGCGGGATCAGCGTGATATGCGGGATCAGCGTGATCAACGTGATATGCGCGACCAGCGGGATATGCGTGATCAGCGGGACCCGCGAGATCAGCGCTGGAAGAACTACGATCGTGAGCGGGAACAACGTGAACAACGTGATCAACGTGACCGTGGTGCCGATTTCGACAGGGGCAACGATCGAAGGTGGGTGTATGCTGTATAAACCGTTTTTTGGATATGTTTGTTTATATTCGGACTATCCTTATATCAGAGACTATCGTCAGAATAACAATGGCAATGGGAATTCTATGGGTCCGGCAAGCAACAATCGTGATCGCGAAAAGCGCTATTCTTCGGATGATGATAGCGACGATAGTGACGATAGTCAATATCGTCATACGCACACTAAGACCAGCAACCAGCCTATGAATACTATAATTGTGTTTGGTTTGGCAAAGCACAGAACGGAAGCGGATGTAAGTAGCAACTAAGTGGCTTGTAGGTGTTTGCTATAATTGCTATGTCTTCCTTAGATTATGAGTACGCTGCTGCAAGTGAATATGGCGCCATCGTCTATACGTCTTATACGGAAAAAACGCACAGGTGGGTTGCAAGGGAAACATCTTTAGTCTTTTTATAAATGTGTAGCAAAAATGAGTGTATATTATGAGAGCGTAAGTATTGGATATGACTTGGCAAATGTTCAAAGCTTCACGATAAAGTGAATGAAAAATAAAATAAAAGCACCAGCAAAACAAATTCCAAATACATCAAAAATCACCGAATACAACATACAATTTTCCAAATGTTACAAAGAATATCAAACCACAAACATAAAATTTTGACAAAAAATTTTGTATTTGCTTCTATCTAAAATTTAGGTGCATCACGTGGTTTCGCATTTGTCGAGTTTAATACCGTTGAGGAAGCAAAACATTGGATGGAGTTAACTAAGGTATCACAACAACAACAAAATACAGACAACTCTACACCCGTACAGCAAGATGTCAAGAAAAACTCGCGCGTGCTCTAAACCAATATATTCCTTAAGTTCAGTTCAAACAATTTCAAAACAGCAAGCATAACGAATCAACTAATGAAGTCACTACCTTATCCATAGCTGCGAGTATTTTCCATTTAATTATTCCATATTCCATGTTGGCAGATAATGTCAGTTATACGTAGGCAAGAAACCTACACAAGGCAGCTTTGTCGTTCTCATGCAATATTAAGTGAGGTGAGCTGCTCTGGATTTTGTTTCAAGCTGAACTTAAGGCAATAATGTAACTATAAATTACGTCTGACCATTAAATTTTCGGACCATGCTGTACAAATGAGCACTTAAAAAATAAGTAAATTTCTGATTTCGATACCCAACTTGGACACGCGAAACCCAACAACAACGGCAGCTACAGTAACTGCAGCAACCTGGTGACTGTGTAGTCTGTGGAATCTGTTTGAGCACATGAACCTCGCTAATCTACTTTTTTTCTATTCTGTTTCCTCTCATCTAGGGTGTGCTTCAAGTGCAAGGACAATGGGTATCACTACAATACAGCCATACTCGCATCACGGATTGGCATTGTAATAAGGTGAGTAGCTAAATTCTGTATTGCCCTGAAAAAAGTAGTGGGATGGTAAACAGAAAAAGTGAAGATCTAGGTAGATTTCTGATCAAAATGTGGCTTGCATTTTAAATAATCTTATGCATGTGTAGTATGATTTATCATTACATATTTCCTTTATTGAACTTCTTTCGAAGAATTATAATTATGAACGTATATAATATAATTTGGCAAGAACAATATTATACAGATTATCTACAGTCTTTACAAATGAAAAGGTCCACCACAATCTTGCTATAAGTTCATTTAAGTTAATGATCTATGATGAAAACGAGCGGGGATGCTGATATTGTGTATGGTTGTGGCTAATGATATTTATTTTTTCAGTGTGGCGTTTACAATTTCAAGCGACGTTTTTCGTGCTTCAAATGCAGCGCATTGCGTGCAGAGAGTTACAGTCCCTTCATTGGCGGTGATGAAGTTAGCAACATTCTAACAAAAAGTATATAAAAAAAGTCTCTAAAAAGTTTAAAAAATATGTAATCTTTTTCGAAATTCGTACAAGCAATTTACAAAAATGTACCTCTGAACTTATTGAAATGCTTCCCCAATTCAATGCAGAGATCATGTTTCGCAATCTGGATGCGCTGACCAACGAGGAGGGCGTTTTAACTGTCATGCAACAGTTATTGCCCGATTTGGCCAAAACCATCAGTAAGGTGCTGATCAGTCGCGATACGCTCACCCAAGTATCGCGTGGCATTTGCTATCTTAATTTTGAAACGTTGATTGACTCAATGAATGTCCACAATGCACTGACGGCGTTGGATCCTCCGCTATCAATCGATGGTCGTGATGGTAAGTGTGTGGGGAATTGTCATTGCATTAACTAGGGGTGAGAGCGTGTCGTGATAGATCAAGTGAGATGCGAAATATGTATTTCGAGTAAAAAAAACGGCACCAACAGCATTGATTAATTGAAACAACGTTAACAATTTCGGTATTTTTGAACAATTTCTTTATTTATTTTTCTTAATGCCGCGCGCTCATCTGTAACAGCTAAGCATAATTATATACATATTAACGTTTATATCCTTTTCGCAGTGATCGTCAGCTATTGCATTGATCATGAGAACCGTCAGTTGTCAAAGGAATCCCAAGGAGCGCCTAGTGGTAGCTCTGGCACCATGCTGGGCGCTATCGCTGCTGTGCCCCCCTCGGGAGCAGGTGGCACTTACACATTGGCCGACGTGCCACGTCTGGCTGAATATAGCGCATCATTATATGCTTCCACACCGGCAGAACAGGCGCACTATGTGCGCTACTACACAGAATATTATGTAGCGGAAATAAAGAAGGGTCAATTTGGTGGCGATTCACATCTAACGGAGGCAAATTCGGGTGCAGCCGTTGCCCTTTCTGCCATACAACGTAAACAGAAGAAGATGAGCGGCATAGAGACTACAGCGACGGCTGCTGCCGCGGCAGCGGCACAAGCGGCTGCAGTAGTAAAGGCCACGTTATCGGCGGCACAAAATGTGGTGACACCGAAGGGCAACGATGGCAAAACATACCGTAAGTTTATACTAATATACAACCATTTCAATTACTGTTTCTTCATCCGTATATTGGACATATCCGCAGTTTTTTAAGGGAAAAACGTAAGCAGGATGAACATTTAATAGTTAAACTAGGTATCTTGTACCAAACTCTTCGTAATGATGAGCTTTAGAAATAAGTTATCATGTTCATCAAATAACGTCTTAAATATATATATTATAGTTATAAGAAAGTATAACTTAAGCTGTCTATTTTATTTACAGCCACGCCCGATGTGTCCCAGTATCAGTATGATGAAACATCTGGCTATTATTATGATCCCAGTACGGGTCTTTATTATGATGCGCACTCCCAGTACTATTACAATAACGAAACGGGCGCCTATCTTTATTGGGATCAGCGTCGCAGCACCTACATCTTGGCCACGCCCGCCTCTACTCAGGCTGCACTACAGGAAGTGCTGGCCGCGGAGACACAGGTTGAACAAAAGTCTCAAGAAGAGGAATCAAAGAAAGACAAGACCAAAGACAACAACAAGCCTGACAAGGTAAAGGTGGCCAAGAAAATTGTGAAAGATATGGAAAAATGGGCCAAACAATTAAATCAAAAGAAGGACTACACTGTAGTTGCCACACCCCAGCCTATACTGGCGGGACGTGGCGAGGCGGTGGAAGCTCCAAGCACGTCTCGCGCCGCAGCTGGAGCCGGCGGTGCCTATGCCGATGTGGGCTTTTCCATTCTAGAGAAAAAGGAACGCGCAAAATTGAATGATTATTTGCCAACAGCGAGCAACGTTGCGGCTCCGCCGGGCATGAATAAGCTGGTGAATGCTTACGGAGGCTCTGATTCAGAAGACGAAACCAGTGTAGCAGCTGCCCCCGGCGCTGTAGATGAAATGGATTATGTAGATATGCAAAAGCTAACTTGTTTGTTGTGTAAGCGTGCTTTCCAATCGATCGACGTACTGCAAAAACATTTGAAAATGTCAAATCTGCACAAGGAGAATTTGGCGAAGCATAACTTGAGCATGGGTTCCAGTGCCGGAGGCGACGATACAGCCAATGCGGGTCTATCGTAAGTATACGAGAACATTATTTTTTAATAATTATACTTGAACAAAACTGCCTTTGTCTAAACAGCTATCGAGATCGCGCCAAGGAGAGACGTTTGAAATATGGAGAGTTTGATCCTCCACCTGTCAATCGCAATCGGGAGCGTTTCCAGCAAGAGATTAAAACTTTGCAGACGCGACAAAATGAGAGCGGTGGTACGCCCGCCATGCCAATTAGCTCCAATAATGTGGGAAGTCGATTGCTGCAGAAAATGGGCTGGTCAGAGGGCCAGGGACTGGGACGCAAAAATCAAGGGCGCACCCAGATAATAGAGGCTGATTCTCGATCCAATAATGCAGGCCTGGGCACAAAGGGTAGTGGCATTTCATCTGGCGATGATTATAAAACGTACATTAAGAAAATGATGAAGTGGCGCTACGAAAACGCCTAAATGTATTGACTTACATGAAAACATTGATAGGTTACTGTTTATTTTAAAATCCACAATTGTACATTATAACTTTACATTTTTACATTTGAATTGTGCTTAAAACATCAGAGCTGTTACATCCATTTTTAAAAGGTCATTTGCCCATCATTTCTAACAGTTCATTAGTTTAAATCGTTAAACAAAATATACACGTAAATATATGTATAATTTCAAAAAAGTGTGCATGGATTTCCTTCTCTTTATAAGCATGCAAATGTTTGTGTGCTCTTTAAACGCTCTTTTCAGGTAAAAGCTTGCCGTTTTTATATTGCCTATGGGAAAAAGTCCCTCTGATCAAAGCAAAAAGAACAACATCACGTACTCATAGTATTAGTGTTGGTGTAGAAATGTTTGTACTTGGGTGTATATTTTTTTGGCTCAGTTGTGATTCTGGTTTACCAAAATTCCGGAGAATGGTATGGAAAATGGGGAAGAGTCTCATTCAAAGAAGAGAAGAGAGATTGTAACAGTAGTAAGGAGAACGACTATTGGATGCTCTTTGAACTGGTCGTCTGATTAAGAAAATATAAATGTACATGCGTTATAGACTTACCGTACGCTCAATAAAATTGTTTTTTTGCACAAAAACGGAAACATTGTATGAAAAATAGATACTTAACGGCTAACCATTAAACCTTTTAGCGATATCTTGGAAGAATATCTGCTTATTCCATCGTTTGTTTATGATTGATGTGTTATAATCACTGAAAAGAAACATTACAGTAAAGGATAAATAGCGCAAGGAAATAATATATACATAGAACCGAATTTTTAAGTCAAAACCCATTCTGAAAGAAATCACATGAGCTTTCTGCCTAAAATATCAATGATGTGTAGGGTATACAAATTTTTCATTATCTTTTTTTTGGGGGACAATAAAGCAAGCATCTGCTCTCTTTTGTTTTCTCGAGGGCTCTCTTCTCTCTTCCATTGGGGCAAGCCAAGCACGCAGGCGAACAAGTAAGCAGCAGTTGGGGGCCAACAGCCAGCAGTTGGCATCGGCAGAGTCAGTGAGTCTCTAAGCGTCGTTGCGATCGTTTCTCGCCGTTGCGTCGATGCGCTGTAACGGGTTTTCGTCATTGTCTGTGTACGCATTTTTCGTCAACGTTTAACGGTTCACGACTACGATTACGACTTCGACGACGACGACTATAGCGAGCAGTAGAAATTGCCACTCGAGAGTGCAAAGTGTGCGCTAATAATAAAGTAAATCACTACCAATTGTAAGATATTATTAGTAAATTTATTGTTTTTCAACAACAACAAAGTTTAATGCCATTAATCACGGGCTGCGTGAGCGTGTGTGTGTGTGCTTGTGTGTGGTCTGTGTGTATTGAGGCTTAACGTGCGCTGTTGCCAAATGTGGTCAAAGCAAAATAACAAAAATACATACATACAAACAAACAAATAAACCTACGTACAAATAAAACAGTGGCCGTCTCTGTCTGTACATGTGTGTGCGTAGCTCTCTTTGTATGCGTGAGAGTGCGTTGCAAAGTGCTTTTTATGGTTTGAAATTTGCGAGTTTTTGTCGTGTTTGTTGTTAACAAAAAAGCAAGAAAAAAAGTTTATAAAACAATGTAATGTAAAACAGCGGTTGTCAATATTCTTAGACACATACGTATACGTACTTACTGGAATATTACGCATACGATACGTAACATTTACTGCCCGTCGATTGAGCAGAATATTTTTGCATAAAAATGTAGTGTTTTCATAAAAACGGTCTAAGTGCCTGCCATAATTCACAACATTTCATCTGCAAATTAGGCAAAAACTTGCCCAAAGTTTAGGCAACAAGCATTGAGCAGAAGCAGCCCAACCTCATTTAAATGTTCTTCTGTTTAAAATATTTTCTTATGGTTGAAATATTTTCACTGTTTGTCCATTTTGATTTTTATTATTTATACTCGTCGTTGCTGCTTTTGCGGCTACTGCTACTGCTGTTGCTGCTGCTTTTGCTTTCCTTGTGTTTTTGATTTTTCATGGTTTCATTTCTTTAAATAAGTTTTATTTTTAGCATTTTCAGTTATTTTTGTTGATCTTTTTTCCTTCTCGCCAAACTTTTTTTTTCTGCTGCTCGACTATTTCGAATTTTCTTTTTGGCTCTTTGGAAATATACACACAGAACGTTTATAAATGTACATACATATATGTGCATATATACATACATATGTATGTATGTATGTTTGTACAAATTTGTGTATGTGAAGAAAGATTTGTGTATAAAGTGCTGTGAACTGCATAGGTACAGGGTACCGTTAGTTTACATTTGTGGAAAGGAAAATAAATACATAGTCTGTACTTAGAATCGAATGTTTCAAAAATTTCGAAAGCGATAATTTTACTAAACGTGTACTCGTATATGTGTTCGTTTTCAGTTTAAAGATAAATTCTATACAGCGTGTGTTTATCATTCTGAGAGAGAAATTTACAAAACAGGGTATTTAAAAAACAATTTTTAAGAAAAGCATCAAATTCTTATTTGGGGAATTAACGTGAAATCGTATGTATCCTTTAGAGTTAATTTTCATATGAAGTAAAAATAAAAGAAATATTTAGAAATCATTAAGATCAAGATCAAGGCATTTGCAGAAAATATTAAAATACCGGTTTTGTTTAATTTGCAACTCATAAGCAAATTGTAATTACTTGTCAGCTGATTGAATACAAACATAGTTTTAGTCTTATAGGCTTACTCTACATTAAATCCTAGAAAAAATTCTACATACAAAAAATATTTCCTTTTCAGAATATATAAACCTCTTACATCTTTTTCCCACGCCAAAATAAATAATACCACAGTGATAAAAACTTATTCGTATCGAATACATTGCGTTTCGTATCGCTTATCACTTTTTGCAAGCCTAAGGACACTTTTTATTTCTTTCCAAATACTTGTTTGTGCAATCACTTTGAAAGGAATCGGTTACCAAATGTATACTGGAAGGAAATCCTATTCTTTTAATCAACTTAACTTAGGAAATGTAAGTCTTCACAGCGATCGAAAAGTCGCGGAGGACGATAGCGCGTATGTAAATAAGTTTTGATAAACATTGCTGTTCGTGTTGTTAGTTTAAAGGTTAAGAATTAAGATAAACAATTGCACTTTTAGACTTGAAAACAGAAGTGATGGGAACCGAAGGCTTTAATCTTTTTTATTTTAATCGTAAATAAAACCGCAACACCACCATTTAAAGCTTATGGATTTATTTGAAATACTAAATGCAAAGCTCAAGAGTTTGGTAGCACACAAAAAACAAGAGACAAGGCAACATTTATTGTGCTGGCCTTCAAAATCAAAGTCGAAAAAAGTGTTTTATGATGGTTGGTGGGCGAGCGGGCTAGCGGGTGTGTGGAGGCGTGGGTGCTCAGTCTGGCAACAAAAATGGCAAATTATCACGACGTAACATTGAAAGCAAACGCAAAATCATAATCACTTGCTCACACATACATACATATATCGAGATTTATACATATGTACATGTACTTGTCAGTCATTCATTTGGTTGTCTATAGCTTTACCGTTAGCAATTGTTGGCTCTCTTGCAACTGGCACTTTAAGTTTTTGTATTTCGTATTTTTAAATTATGACACATAGGCCTCGCAAATGCTCACACACACATATGTACATACACACACATTTACATACATACATATGTACATGTATGCGAGAGTGTCTGCAACGCAACTCTTTGAAGAAAAAAGTCGTCGAGTGGGCGGCAGACCCCAGACATCGTGTGCTCCGTAAATTTTCTGTTTTCTTTGCCATTTAGCATTTGAGCAAAATTTTTGCAGAAAGTTTATTTTTGAGCGGAAAGAACAAAAAATATGCCAACAACTGAGGCATTTGATTAAATGAGCCGCAAACACAGTTCGTCATTAACATAAAAGTGAGAAAAAGAGCGACAGAGCGTCACACATATAGAGAGACAGAGAGGCAAGAGAGATAGACTGCTACAGAGCGAGAGGAAGCATTTTAGAATGGCTCTGGCAATTAAGCAAAGTAATTATGAAGAAAGGAAGAACATACGGAAATAAATTTTCTCGCTGTTGTTATTGTTATTGTTGTTGGTGCTGCTACATCTGTTTTTGTAATTGATTAATTATAATTTATTACATTTTTCATGTTGTCGCGATGCATTTGCTTTTGTATTTTCGCTTACCCGCAATTAATGACCATTTTGATTTTGTCATTTTTTGAGGAAATTAACAATAACTCTTAAACGTACATAAAGTATGTACACATTGTCAAAAAATGTAAAAATGTAATGGCAAATAATATGCTGTAAAACGTTCTGGGTTTCTTATCGCGCATGTTTTTCTCGTGACAAATAGATACAATTATGGAAATGTGTGGAAACCTGCATTAGAATCTTTTAACTGTTCAAATGTGATGATTAGTATTATTTTAAAGTATTTTTATTCGTTTTTTATTGCTTTATTCAGTTAATAGTGTATGTCAATGATAAAGAAACATTTTATTTATACCTAATGATTATGGTAAGCAATTGATAATGATTAGTTCACAGTAAATGAAAGTATTATCTTGAAAACTTGGCGACTTGACGTACGACTGTAACTGTGATTGCCTCTTCTTTACAACTGATACTGATATGCTAGTGTCGCGCCAAGCCGGACTCTTATATACCCTATACCCGGCTTGGTAATTAATTAAACTTAATTATAAACATTATTTGTGTTTTTAAATTTAAAAGATTTCAAAATTTTAAGTTTTTTTGATCCTACATTCAATATCTTTTTAAATTCTAGGTGCTTTTGAGAATTTAAGCAAACAGGAATATTAATATTGGGAATAATATTATTAGATTTGAATTAATTTATTTGTACTCTATTTGGCCGTAATTGTGACTGAAAAAATAAGTTTGATAGCAACTCTTTGCCTTTTCATGTATCTGCATATTTTGCATTTAACTAAATTGTTGTTTATTTTTTTTTCAATCAAATTAAACTATTTTCACACATAACACAAAACAACAACTCTGTCACTAGTCTAAAACAAGTTTCTCAGAGTCAAATGCAAATTGCTGGCCAGCCAATACAAAATTCACAGAATACTTCACACATTCATACACATTATATACATATGTATACATAGGGATGTCGCTTTAATAGTTATTCTATGCAAATTGCATAAATTTGCTTGTTGTTGCTGTTGCTTTCGAGTAATCCAAAATAAACGGAAATGGAATTTTTTGCATATGCTAAACATTTAATATTAGCCACTACATGAAAATCAATTTCGTTTAAGCTTTAAATATTCAAGTGCTTATCAATTCAGTTTTATTCAGAAAGCAAAAAAAGCATCTATTGATTTACTTAAGCATAGTATGTTGAAAATCAATACAAACATAAGTACCAATGCACGCATGTTAATATAAGCAGATAATAATCTTATGTTATCTACAAGTTATCTGTCACTGTTGCATACGAATGTAAGCATAAAGAATATGTATAGCAAAAGTGTCAGTCTCCAATAAAACTCTAAAGCGAACAGACGCACGGCGGTCCGCGACTATTGTCTTTTACTTTACTCCTACTGAGCCCTTCCCTTTTCAGCGAATATATAATCTATTCAATAGGTTATGGGCCCAGGGCATATAGGCTCATAGGAGAAGTTCAAAGTATTGTGAAATAGTAATCGTTTGGTGACTCAAGAAATATAACATTTAAAAAATGAGTGCGCTATATCAAATAGACAAATTGGAAGAGCATAACTATGACTCATGGAGCATACAGATGCGATCTGTCTTAGTGCACGCGGAATTGTGGAGTGTGGCATCAGGTGCTGAACCTAGTAATACTGAGAGTTCAAGGCCAAAAGATGAAAAGGCATTAGCAATTATAACGCTAAGTGTAAAAGCTTCACAATTGGGCTTCATTAAAAATTGCAACACTTCGTACGAGGCATGGAAAAAGTTAAAGGACGTTCATCAGCCGAGTGGACCTGTACGGAAAGTGTCGCTGTACAAGAAATTGCTAGGCAAACGCATGTTTCAAGGCCAAAGCATTTCAAGTTACATACACGAATTTAACGAAATTCTGGATGGTTTGTGTACAGTTGGCATCGAATTAAATGATGAGTTAAAAACAATCGTGTTGTTGTCAAGCTTGCCCGAACCATACGAAAATTTTGTCGTCGCCATTGAGACGCGTGACAATTTACCGTCATTTGATGTGTTATGTATCAAGCTGATGGAAG